AAACCTTTAGATTTTACTTAATAGTATTAAATATTATTTAAAAAGCAGCATGATACATACATAATATAAATTACAGAATAAAAATGTACAAAATATTTCGGTGTAATGTTTTCAACCTCAGCCTGTTACTAGTGTCAAAATGTTAGTTGTTACTTGTTAAGTTGTTACCAGTTACCACTTGTTCTTGTTCCGTGCCAGCTGCCACCACATGTCCACGACCACATCACGGACCTCAGCCACCTAACATAAGTTTGCTTACAGTTATTTTACACAGTTATTTTTATGTTTCACCTTCCCTACATGGATATCTACTTTAATCTACCAATCTCCAAAATTATCCACATATATATACAAATAAAAGACTGATTTTTTATATGTATATGTGGATAATTTTTGAGATTGGTAGATTAAAGTAGACATCCATGTAGGGAAGGTAAAACATAAAAATAACCTTTATTTACTATATCTAACCCGTACTATTTAGGTTAGGTTAATTGCAATAAAGTTGCATTGATATGTTTTGAAAATGTTTTATTACCATTAAATGTTTACGAGTAAATCCAAATAGCAGAACAATAAATATTTAGAGATTTCCTATAATTTTGGCCATTGTAGCGGCTAATGTAGCGGCGCTACATTTTACTGTAGCGGTAGCGGTAGCGCCCGCTACAATCTAGTGGGTGTAGCGGTAGCGGTAGCGCCCGCTACATTTAGAGCATGTAGAGGTAGCGGTAGCGGCGCTACATTTCAAAGTAGCGCTGCCCAGCTCTGATGATGTGAGCATCAACATATGTATGACGTGAGCATCAACATATATATGACGTGAACATCAACATATACATATATGATGAGAGTACCAACATATATATGATAAGAGCATGAACATATACATGATAGAATAGAATAGAATAGAATAGAATAGAATAGAATAGAAGTGTCGGCGTTGAAGACATAGGCCCATGGCCTGTTGCCGATTCTTGAACTTTTCGTGACTTGATTCACAAGGGATCCGGCCTTTGGAACCCGATCTTTCCATAGCTGACGATTGATTGAGATAGCTGCTGGACTTATTGTTCACTCTGTCGTTGCAACCGTGTCTTCTCATATTGTAATCTTGCTGTTCATTATTCTTGCCAAGGTGGATAACTTTACATTTGTCAGCGTTAAAACGCAGCTGCCACTTATCAGCCCAGTCAACCAGCCATATATTGATGTGAGCATCAATATATATATATGATGTGAGCAAGAGCAGATTCCTTGCACGCATCTTAATGAGGTGCTGGGGTGACACGACTGCACTGCCATGTGATGTGGTGACATGACACATCACAGCCCCGTGTTTGTTCTCATGGCACATCACAGCACATCACATTCCCGTCACGCGCGCCCGCACATTTTTCTCCATCTGCAAGGCAGCTCGCGGCTCACGTCAATCCTAAGATGATCAATACAAGCTGCTCCCGGCAAGCGGGGCTTAACCCTAAACTGCCCACACAAACTAAGTCAGAGGCAATCAGCCTCTGACAATCTCAGACAATCAGCCGCTGACAATCTCGTACAATCTGCCTCTGACAATCTCAGGCAATCAGCCTCTGACAATCTCGGGCAATCAGCTGCGGATGATCTGGAACAATCAGCATCTGATGATGAGAACATCAGTTTGTCTTAAGGAGCGATGATGACCGCTTGCCGGAGTTGTGATGGACGAGCGGCGTGTATAGCACGAAGAGCCCCAAATGATAGCTGGTAATGATAGACGACTTACAAGTGGCCGATGATTGAGTGCATGGCAGAACATTATAAAATAATGTAATTACGGGAAAGATAAATCCTGTTTGAAGCTCTATTTTATTTATGCAGGAAGCAGTTTTATCCGTAGAAAATTCTACGGATTTTCTAGTCATGTCAATCGTACGGTTTTTGCAGGAGAAATGATCGGCGGTTCAAGCTATGGCACATCGCATAACAAAACCTGCAGATTTGTTTCAACTTAAATTTGAACACGAAGCCTTGTTTGCCTCAACAGCCGCTGCAGAGGCGCACTAATTGAGCCAGCTCAACTGATGAGGCTCGTTGATCTTACAATCGAAATTCGACTAAGTTTAGACGGCCTCGTTGCAGATTTTACGAACCTAATGGAGGCCATTAGGGGGTGACCGAACCTCGTCAACGCAGGAGCTACGGCGGCAAGAGGGTGGCCGGCGGTAAAACGGCCAAGATTCATAGCGAGGAATTTCAGTATATGAAGCATGATGTGTGACTACGGTAGAAAATAAATGATGTAACGTTCAAACATGATACCTATAATATATGAAGTGAGTCTCATAACATTGTGCGGCAATATATGAAACACGATTCATAAAAAGATACCTCAACGCAAACAAGTCTCGTATTTTGGTACATCAAAGTATGAAATGAGTCTCATAACTTGGTAAAACACGATTCGTAACAAAGTGCGTTAACATGTCAAGCAAGTCTTATAATATGGAACATCAAGAAATAAAGGATGAATCATAACAATGTAGTCAGTATGTAAAGCATGTCTCACGGATGACCAGTCTCACGGATGACCAGAGTACGCCTATGATAGTGAGTACGGATGACCTGAGGTCATCCGTACGAGGTCATCATACGAGGTCATCCGTACGAGGTCATCCGTACGAGGTCAGACATTGGGATGACCCAGAGGTCATCCCAATTCATTACATCCACGAGTAATATGACATCATTTACCAATCCGTACGAAGTACGGATGACCAGAGTACGGATGACAGTCTCACGGATTACCACGTCGTGTAGAAGGTCTCAAGAACCTCGCAGATCTAAGCAACATAATGCCGACAACCGCACGACACAGGCCAGCATTCTCTGAATGCAGACGCTGCGACTATCTCAGCCGTGAGCAATAAGCAAGATCTTCCGTAAAAGTTTTTAGAGACTTTATTTCACGTAATAATTGTATTTGTAGATTGATTGTTCACATCCACATCCCGTGCACCCTAAACAAAACCTCACCCAGTCATGCCATATCCAGCTACACCAGTTAGCTTCATGTACAACCCACTTTGGTCACCCTAAGCACAACCCATTCAGGTCACCCCATTTCAGTTCACTCATGTCATGTAACCCCCGTCTCCCCCCCGCGTCATTTACCTCCTTGCAGAGGACGTGGGGTGTGAAGGGGGGGGGGGGGGGGGAAATTGGGAGCGGCGAACTTCTTGCAGGTTAATTAATTGGCTTAATACGGCCGCTCTTTACACGAGGCTGCGTGTGTTCAATGCGGCCGCTGTGTACACGGGGCTGCGTGTGTTTAATACGGCCGCTGTGTACACGGGGCTGCGTGTGCTTAGAAATAAATTAAGACCAAGAATCGCACAATGTCAATTGTTCGAGGAATTCTGCGTTTTTGCATGAAATTAAAAATTTATTATTGGCTTCATCGACCAGAAGTCGTCCCGAGCTTCCAGCTGTCGCGGGGAGACCCGTTGCACTTCGAAGAGGCAAAGGTCGGTGTGCCCTTCCATCGCCATGCAAAGTTCCAGCAGGTCGTAGCACCATGGCCTAAATATTAAACTACGAAGCAGAGTAAATATGAAATTATTTAGAAAACGTCTCCAATAGGCTTTTCACCGAATGAATTTATTATAGGAATTAATCGTTATATGCATACGACATCGTGTCGTAACCAAATTAAATAAATGGCGAACGTCAAAATCATCCCCGTCGTCAAAATCATTAACGGTCGAATGTCCTTTTTTTTCTTATTTAAATGAAAAAAATGACCAATGCGATCATATAAATCAATGAAAAACTCTAACAAACTATTTGCAGAAGCAAATTAAAACAGCGTCAAGAAAAACGAGAAGCACACTGCACCGCGTATAGCTCTTTAACCTCCCTTAGCTCTGACGACTGCTGTCCTTATCACGGGACGACTGAAATAGCCCAGCATTGCCCAATACCAGCATAATTTTCATACTTCTCCCCGTGCGCAAGCATGCTGCAGAGCAAATTAGCCAACATGATTACTTGCTGAAAGCCACAGGGACTAAATCCCTGGTGTGGCGAGATGAGGCAAGTAAGAACAGCTGCGTAGGTGTTATGCTGACTATTTCTATTGCATGTAGAGGGTTGGCATTGGCTCTTGGGCTAATTTAAGAGTCAAATTTTTGGGCTACGGCAGCGCTCCCCTTATCATAGCCGGATGAGCGGGCCAGTTCAGAAGTACAATTCTCAGGAAATCGGAGGTTGATGAAAAGAAAGGCCTGCTTAGCTGCTACTCAACATCTTCCGGAGGTTCGGTGTGGAGAACTAAGTTAGTTACTGCTGATGGAGAAGACCTCCACAATTATCCGCGGGCCAAAACGGAGTTCGACTTAAGGATGGAGTTTGAAGGCGTTTTAATCTTGGCGCTAAATGAATTGCAGGTATGCGTTAGGTTAGAGGTCTTAACATGCCTTCAAGGACAGACAGATGGTTGAATGTGAAGAATGAGATACATAAACTTAATCGATGTTCTGTATATAATTATGAATAGATGACCTTCATTTGATCGTGAGCGTTTAATTAAAGCTGCGTGAAGGACTTTGGTAAAATGAAGAAAATTTTCATATTCAAAATTAACTTAGATTTGAATTGTACCATCTACCAAGAAGTACCATGACAATGAATTCACGTACAATGACGTATAAACGAAGTCACTATACGTGCAACGACGCCATCTTTACGCATGAAAATGTAGACGATCAGGTAATTTATAGGCCCGATGCGTTCAAATTAGCCAGGAAGGTCAGGTAATACGGGTGATCCACGGACACTTCCTGTTTTATTTTTTGTGCCAGGAGCCAGATGTCACAGGAAAAGGGAGAAGAATATTTCATATGAAAGGTAGGGTCATGAAGTTTCGTGTCCCGCCTAGTCAGTTGCCACTGTGCACTGGACAAGTCAGCAGCGTGCGTTGGCTGTCGAGTCGTACTTCTCGAACGGCCGTTCAACTATCGCTACTCACCGAGCATTCCGTACTCGGTTTCGTGTTCGTAATTCAGGTCGGGTTCCTGGTGTGAAATCGATGGTTACGTGGGTGAGCACATTTAGAGCAAGTCATCTTAAACAAATTGTTTACTATGACTGTCCAACGACCCTACCTCAGTGGAGAACATACGCCAAGCCTTCGCCTACATACCCGTCAATATGCTTCTGCGAGTTAAACGGAACTTTAAAAATCGACTAACTGAATGCATAGACAATGGGGGCCGTCTTATGTCACATTTAAAAGTGAAATATACAAAAATTCAGGTTATGTCTTTTCCAATAAAATTTCTAGTGTAATGATATCTTTAGCAGTTCTTTTTTTACTAAGCTCTCAAATCAGTAAGTTTTTGTGAATCACCCTGTATATGACACAATCAGTGAACACCTAACAAGTGAACGAAAGCTTGTGCTGAGATGCCTGCCACTCACATGCGTACACATAAACGGAATGAAGATGTACGAGGCAATGACGAAGAGTGAAATTCCTAACGAATAAATCATTTCAATTATGCGTAGCAATAAGGCATAGTAATTTTAAATTTTAATTATTTTAACTCAGATCATCTATGCATTTTGAACATAATTAAACTAAACAAAATAACACCAAAACTATTATATGGAGTTTCATCGTACAACTGCGAAGTATATTTGGCAGGTTCTGACTAATCTTGCAGGAATTAGATTTTATGTCGGAAATTCGACGCATATTTATTAAGAAGTTTTGACAACAATAGCGATTTGAATAAAATCATGCAAGAATATTACGCATTAAAAAATAGAGCGCCAGTCATTCAAAAGAGCTATTACTCATCAATCGCTTCTGTACCGTCCGTCCTCTAGTCAGCATGCAGGGCTGATAGTGTTGAAACAGCGATTGCATTAAGTTAGAACGCCTCCTATTTTTTCTCTCACTAACTACTCACCCAAAACGTATGAAACTTGTGTCACTTCTCAACGTAATCTCCCTGCAACGTTACGCATTTTTCACAACGCTGACGCCATGATGCCATGGGCGCTGCAAACGCTTCTTTAGAAGTTTGTTGGTACCACTAGAAAATCGCTGTCCACTAGAAAAGCGTATGAATGAGCGGTCCCGGAGAGTGTCTTTCAAATCTGGAAACCGCCAAAAATCGGTAAGAGCTTTCTTCTGACGAGTGATGAATCACTTCAAAGCGGCTTGCATGAAGAAACTGTAGCGTCACGTTAGCGGCTAGCCCGTCACATGTCATCATCCTAAGTAAACATTGCTTAGTAACAAACAACACGGGAAGCATTGCGGTCGTTCGTTAGCATTCGTGGCGTCCCGCCCCGACGGACAATTTTCGCATTTTCAGCTGGTCATGCAGGACTGTGCGCGCAGTTCCTACGAAAATGGTAACTTTGTGGGCGATTATTTCCAAAATAAATGGGCGATTCCTCAAAACAGCTTCCTGGAATCGCTCGATCATATCAACAGATCGGCTTGAGCGAAGCCGAGATTCACTTGGTTCGTTGTCACACGATAGTACATGCAGTTCGGCAGTGACACAAGCATTTGAAGCGCAATGACGGCAGCAAACGGCACCAAGCCCCGCCAACTTTGGTGGAAATTTCGATCTAGCTGGATAAGTCAATTTTTTCCAGCATCATTTAAATAGTGTTGGTTCGTTGCTGAAGTAAATAAAACTAATCTGACATATTTTTTTCACTCTACCATAATTCGATTTTTATTCTGTTCATTCCCGTAATTTACAAGTGTTATTATATTAGTGCCAGGTACCACACATGGGAAATCATAAACGGTTACGTAATTTCTGCCCAAAAAGTCACCCTACATCCCGCTTTATATTCGAGGCTACGTTATCTTGCCTCTGCCAATAGCCTGCCTATCGTTCCATACATAGCATTACTCTGTACCAAGCCAAGGGAATGAAATAATAGCCATGGAAATATAGTTGCGGCCCGAACAACGAAATTTACGTTTTGCCCGCAATTTTTAAATAGCAAAGATTTAATATCTCTGAAGGTAATATTAGTAAGTCGATAATATTGCATAATATGAAAGTTGAATAATTTCATTTTACAATTTAATAAAAACTCAATTAATTCTACGCGATACGAAATATTTTGTGAGTAGTGACGTTCCACGCAAAATAAGTCAAATACGGTTCTCCGTATAAATTGACAGACTTAGAAAAAGATGACTAAATGGATTTCGAAATGTGCTGGGATTTTTATTAATATAATCAGAAATACGAATTTTTGTGTATCGTTCGTCCACTAAGCCTATTTTTTGTCCTTCCACACTTACAACAAGATCCGAATTTAATCCGCAGGTTCGTGCAATAAGATCGTGTGTTATCAGGAGAGCAACACAACAAGATCCTCTTGCATTCCATAGATCCTTTTTATCCATATACTAAAATCCTTACATATCCTGAAGTACTGTTCCTTATCCCTTCACAACGGAAGCATGAATGCAGCAAACAAACACCGCCTGTACGTTCGAGCCGCCCTTATTCGATAGACGTTTCAAAGGTCCATCAATTTTTTATCATTAATGAATAAATTGGAGCCTCAAAGCTGGCTAATTGACAAGGTTTTTCCCGTCAAACTCGCCTGCAATAAACACTGAGGGGAGAAGTTAGCAGGAGGCGAGCCGTGCGTCTATTATGGAGTGAGAAACTCTTCTCAAACTCCAAGGACTTTGTTGCAGCACTTCTGGAGCGGCGGCCGCTGTTTGTTTTATTTATCGCGGCGTAGAATATGCCTATATTGGGGGCGTATTATAAATATAATAATTAAGGAGCATTGCGGTCGTTTATTAGGAGGAATTACGTTCATAATTTAGGAGGCATTACCTTCAAGCATTAATGGGCATTGCTTTTATATGTTGGGGTCATTGCTCTTATTTATAAAGGGGATTGCATTAATATGCTAGGGAGTATTGTGTTGAGATGCTAGGTGGCGTTGCATTCATCTGTTAGGTGATATTGCGTTCAAACGTTAAAAGGCAGTGCGTTCATGTACTATAAATAGGCAACGTTACGTTCACACCTTGAGAGAAATGGTGTTAATACATTTGGAAGCATCCAGCTCATATATTGGGGGGCGTTTCGTACTTATATTACACAGGCAGCACAATCCTATATTTGGCGCGCTATATTCATACATTCTGAGGTTCAGGCACTTTAAATTTTGTTGAGGCGGATGCTGCTGATGTGATGCTGTTGCTGAGGATGATACTGAAGATGATACTGAAGCAGATGGTTAAGCTCAGATCGTTGCTGATACTGAGACGGATGCTGAATCTGAGAGTGACGCTGAGTTGGAGGCTGAAATTGGTGATGATGTTGAGGGCCTGCCAATTCTGTGCAGTTATTCCCTATTAATCTCATTCACTCTCTCATCGACAGCCAAGACTCGGCCGGCGGCTGGCCGCGGTTGGCCGGCCGTTGTTGTCCAGGAGGTGCGCACTCATCAGCACCCAGTGTTTTTGTTCGGTAAAGTTGTGCTGACAACGAGAGGTGCGTGGCGCTGACATGTTGTCAACACGATAACAATGCGTTGCTGCAGCTGCTTTGTCTGTACCTCCACTCGGGGCCCTCCACACCTGAACTCTCCTCATCTCCTCTTTCACCCTTCTTCTCCCTTCTTCTCCCTTCTTCACCTTCTTCTCCCTTCTTCTCCCTTCGCCCTTTTTCTCCCTTCTCCCTGCTTCTCTCTTCTCCCTTCTTCTCCTAGTTTCTCACGACTTCCCACGTTCTCTTTCGTCCTTATCATTTATATCTTTCGATGTCTTCCTCCCTCTCTCATGCTCACCCTCTTTGACTTTACACCTCATACTCATAATTTTGCTCTGCCCTTTGTTCTCTGTTCTCAGCTTTTTGCTTGTTTTTCGTCCTTTATGTTCTTGAATGTCCCACTCTAGCTTTCTACATCTTTCTCTTCTTCTTTCGCCTCCTTTGTTCCCTCTTCTTCTCCTTCGTCTCTTGCCTCGCTCTCTCTCTCCATCGCTTGCTCCCTCCCCCTTCCCTCCTTCCTTTCCCCACTCCCTCAATCGTTTCTCCCCTCGCTCCCTCGCCTCCCTCCCTCATTCCTTCCTTCATCCACTCGCTCCCTACCCGCTTTTTCTCCCCCACTTCTTCCCTCTCTTTTGTATCACTGGCTGCCCCACTCAATGGTTCCACGCTAGACTCGCCATGGAAAGCTCATTCACGAAACCAAATTAGATTTGAACAAATTAATCCATATTGAACTTTAATTTTAAAAAAATTTCGGACTGATTCAATCTTAATAAATTCATTTAATCTATTATTATATTATGAAAATCAAGACCCAAGATATCCACTAATGTAAATTCACAATTTCAAACTCTAACACAATCATAGAAGATGTCATTGAAGTCATAAAACTGAACTCTACAAAACGTTTTGAAAATTTAATTCTCAAGATTCAATAAACAGGATACAATCTTGTGCATTAATCTATAAATAAATAAATTAATTAAATATTCATATTGAGTCTTGAATTTAATCACGAATTTTGATTGTTGCTACAACACAAGGAACTAATTTGTGTGGCGGCGAGGGCGCAGGCGATGAGCCCTCGTAACATTTGCAGGCAATCACACGGCGCGCGCTGCAGCCTTCGCAGTGACCTTTGCTATGGCAATTATAACGCTCATTACGCAAGACAAGCGTCATGAGATTGCTGGCCGCCCGGGCTCGAATATCTTTGTCCAGTGTCTGTGTCGAAATTAATTCACTAATATCTTAGCTGATATCTCTGTTGAACATTTTTGTTGAATTAATCTGTTAAATATCTCCTGCTGAATATCTCTGTTGAACAGCGTTGTTGAATATCTCTGTTGTTAATATCTCTGTTGAACAGCGTTGTTGAATATCTCTGCTGTTAATATCTCCTGCTGAGTATCTCTGTTGCATATCACCTTTGAAAATCTCTGTCGAATTTCTCTGTTGTTGGATATCTCTGTTGAGTTTATTTGGGATTATTTGTCGAATTTCTCAGTCGAATTCTAGCATAAATTTGTCGAAAGTGTTAGTCGACTATCTTTGTTCAGTGGTTTAATCAAATATATTTGTCGATTAAGTAGCCTGCGTGCAGATTTGCTAAAAAATACTATGACAGATTCCACAGAATTTCTAATGAAGCCTATTAAAGTAAATCAACATCCTTTGCCAGTAAATTTCTCCTTAAAATATGACTAATCAGCTCAAAAAAATCCTTTTAAGAAACGGAAAATAATCTTTTGGAAGTTTTGCCATTGAGATTGGAATTCCCGCACCAAGCTTCGTTGAAAATGTTAATCTCCGTATTTAAAGAAAGGACGGGAGGTCGGATGCCAGCTTTGGATATTTCTACGGTTATTTTAAACTGGCAAGCCGCCACACTAAATAGTATTATTTGGTCGGCATTGTGCGAGGGCGGCGGCGGGTGCCATACATCAGCAAGTGTCGGATTGCGGACGTTATCCTGCAGCAGTTGTACTTACAGCTTCTCGCCCTGCCCGCGCCACGTGACTTTCCTGCGAATGCCTTGATCGGCTGCAGGATATCTTACGCTGCACCGCCTTCGTACCGTGTCAGTGAATGATGACAGAGGCATTTATGGCAGTGGGCAGTCTGTGAATATTGATTATGTTCCGTAATATGTGTTGAGTATGTTAAGCTGTTAAATATATTGCGCATGTTGAGTCTAGAGGATAAACTTACAAAATTATTTTACGACCGTCTTGGTGTTCTGATTGTCCCAACAACTTGGTCCAAAAACAGCCCCAGGGCTCCGACTTTATCCTCTTGATCTTGGCCTCAGTGAATGATCGGATCCGGTTCACGGTGGCCGGTGCGTGGCTGCTGAAGACGCGACCTAAGCGTCAAGATAGGCAAGTGGTTGAAGTTTGTGGGACTGGGAACTTCGCTGCAGCCTACAGCATGTCCCTAACTTCATTTTCTGCGTTGATGCTCAACAAGAAATTCAGACCGTGTTCCCTGCTAGTGATGTTGGTGCATTATTCCATTGCGAGTTTCGTGCCGTGAACTTGTCGAAATGATCTGCAGTGATTGAGCCTATGTAGGACTCATTCTTTTTAAGCAGTTCCAATTGGTCTAATTTCAAGCGAGGCTGTCACCTAGCAACACTTAGGTTGTCACTTAGCAACAAACTATTTTCAGCTGTGCCAAGGAGTTTTCAATGCGTGATCTTAAGATTATATTTCGATTTTAATTTCAAGTCAACGAGCATCACGCGACGTAAGTTGCCGACGGTGAGATTTCTGCTCTCCAACGCACAACATTCCCGCCTGTCATAAGATCATTGCCGTCTTGTCCATCATTAGACAGGAATTTTTTGCATACGCAAGCCTCGTGATATCTCAATTAAATTGTTTGTGCAAACGTTAAACATGGGACCAAAGCATAGCAAAATGCATAAAATATCAGTTAATTAAATGAAATTATGGCCACCCCGCAACCTTTAATTTTCGCTCTTCCACCAAGCTCCAGAAATGGAAAACTTTCCCTCTGCCGGAAAAAGCTGGCATTTAAAAGGGAATCTCGGCGTCGGTAGGAGTCATCGTGCAGGCCAGTCGCTCGCATGCAAATGCCGGGCATTAAAGAAGCAAGATTCGGTGCTAAGTATTCAGTGTGCAATGTTCCCGGGATGAAGTCTAATTAAGATGATTTGAGTGGCGACGGCGGTCGTAAAAGCAACTCAAGCTCGTCTGGTGTGATAGCGCCGGATTAAAGTCACTAAATTGAGGGCTCAGTAGCGAAGTGAGGAGGATTGGAATATATGAAGGTATAATTCTAGCGCTGCTCTCGTGAGAGGTGCATAACAGCAGACGAATACGTGGTCACGCTGATGAATAGTTTACGCTGTACATGGCGCTGAATCTGCCGGATAAAAACATGTATTGCAGAGAATAAATTAAGATAATATTAAGTAGAAATGAACTTAAATGCTGTTAATTGTTTCAAATGGCAGACATTTATTTGTTTAAAGCTTTTGACGCCATGTAGCATGTAGCTGACTCTGTTCTCTCCACTGCATTAACACGAACAATGAATGAATCATGGGCTGTTATAAGCAGGCTCATGTAGGGGTTCAAAACATGATGAAAATTAGTCATAATAACATGAATCCAGCACAGCCTGGCGCTCGTTGTGGGCCAACTCAAATCTTCGCCCAAGGTTTATTTCGAGCTAGTCGATGAGGATATTCGTTGATTTTTAGACAGAATTTCGCAACAATAATCGCCCACAAACGAAAGAAAAATTGCGCCTTTAATCATCTGCAGACTCGCAATTATAACCGTCCAGACCAAACAACTTCTCGTTCAGGTTATTGAAAAACAACTTTCTATGTCCTGCATTGCAAGTGGATGTCTTTGTATATTAGCACGTCTTTTAAAGCCTCAGCCGTATCAATGGCGGTCTACTGGCTGACGTACGTTGTGGTGCATTTGAACCACCAGTGGTTTTCAACAGGGGACGGACAGGCAAGCGAGGGCTGACTCACCAACTCGCTGCCTGAGTTCCGAAAAGTCGAGTTTTAGGAGCCGCTAAGTATTCCCTTTACAACTTGCGAGGAAGTTGTTCTGCTTCGACTTCTTAACGACGGTCACCTGAAACTTAACGCACACACTTCGGCCAAGGCAAGACCTACAGAATTTCTTCGTGGAGACCGCGCAGGCTTCGGTTAAATGACATTATTTCCTGGACAATTAAGCCAAGCAAATGAATGGTTGTGTCATTTAAATTTTGTGTTTGATAATTTCGATATAAATGACTATCCACATTGCCTGTAGTATTAACACACCATTCATAGATAAATTGTCGAATACTCTAGGAAAACATCCATTTGATGTCAAATGGATTGACAAATTAACAATATAAATAAAACGAGCCTTTGATAGTGAGAAGCGGGCATACGCTGATACGTTTTTGGGACGTTTTTGCGAATAAAATGGGCAATATGCCAACGAAAATATATATAAGACGAAAGTTTTGATGTATCGTCGTTTACGTCTATTGCGCCGCCGACGTGTACGTTGTGTGACTTGTGAGCGCAAGTAGAGCAGCATTGCGTCACCGGATCACTTCTTTGTCTCTGTCTCTCAACGCATTCATGTGTGCTGTCATTCATAAAATGTTAATCACAAGTCATAAGCTCACCGCTTTACCGTCCGTATTCTGAGCCTGCATTTGTAGTCGTAAAAAAAATATGATCGCATTGTACCTGATTTTCTAAGAATTTCGTATCATCTTCAGTTCCTGCAAAACTATTAGCATCTGTGGGGACTGCGTACTGACCAGCATTCATTACGGCGTAGCTTTACATCGTAGCCCTGCTTCTCTACATTTGTTGAAGGCTGGAGCGCCGCTGCCGCTGCGCCAGAACTTCGCGCTCGGGACGACCGTGTCAGCGCCGCGGCTCGCGTCGCTCTTGTTTCTCTGACCGCTCTCACAAAGCCTCGTGCATTCCTTCATGGCCGCACGGAATGCGTGGCCGTGCGTGTCCCAGCATTTCCGATGGTGCGTCGTGCGCTTGTGCGTCTCTCACGCTCATTGTTCACGCTCCATCAAACACACGCTGTGCACATCACTGCGCATCAAATGGTGATCAGACCACAGCATTGATTCCTGAAGACCAGCACGCGTCCTTATCTCAGCTCTACATTCATGCGATCGCTGCTAAGCTGCCAGACGTGTTCCTCCGGGACCTGTAAATGATCGCTTTATGGGCAATCCCAATCTACAGAAAACTGGCTTACAACTCTGAGATTTTCATGCCATATTAGGATTTATCATTTATGTGTGCGCTTTCTTAAGTGTGTTTCTACAGTGAATTTATTGTGATATTTTAGGTGATAACCTCGTCACCGTAATTCCTGTAAATAAGTCATATATTAAAAATATATATAATGAATGGATAAAATTAAATAGGAATCATCCGAGTAGGTTTAGGGTTCAGTATCGCCCGAGGATATGATTGAAATATAGTTAACGTCATTCATTTTAATAAGCGAAGTTGAAATGCAGGCCTTCGACCTTTAAATGTAATCTTGCCTTCATTAAATGACATAAAAGTTAATGTATATATAATAAAAGTCCTTCAAATGTCGTTCGAATAATTTGCCAGTTAATTTTATTCTTGATCATTAGTCACTTATTGGGGAAGGCAGTAAATTTAAAAGTTACATTAAATCAAAACATGGCGTAGAGAGGTAAAGATAACAGAGAATAGCTTAAGGCTTGACTTTTTAGTATATAAAATTAAATTATTTATACAATTAGACGCAAAGCTGGTAAACTGGCGCGGCTGCTGTTTAAGTGACAACCTGTTGCTCTTGGATGTGATCTCGGTGATTAATGTTTTATTGATGATTTAAGAATTTGATTAGATCGCGAATAATTTGTAGTTACTTAGTAGCAGTACCTTAGCAAAATTGACACACTAGTGTTAATAAAGATAATGAAAATTGCCACCGCATTCAAACATAAGATGAAACTCACCTGCTGCTGGATATTGATGGTGATCAGATGGCAAGGTTTGATGGTGATCGCTTTCTTAATGATCGCTTGTCTGAACAGTGAACTGTTAGCACTCCCAAGGCGAGAGTTGTTGTCAGTTTTGTCAAACTTTTGGTGTTGTCAGTTTTGTCAAACTTTTGGTGTTGTCAGTTTTGTCAAACTATTGACGTTCACAGTGTTGCCAGACGAGTGACGTTGACAGTGTTGCCAGACGAGTGACGTTGACAGTGTTGCCAGACGAGTGACGTTGACAGTGTTGCGAGACGAGTGACGTTGACAGTGTTGCCAGACGTCGCCACCTCGCTAGGTCACCTATCTCTGCAGAGCTATCAATCATAACCAACTGCCGTGTGCCGCGCATCATAAGTGATGTCGTGGAGCGTCACTGATGTGTGATCAGTGATGTATGATCAGTGATGTGTGATCAGTGATGTGTGATCACTGATGTATGATCAGTGATGTATGATTAGTGATGTATGATCAGTGGCGCATGATCAGTGATGTATGATCAGTGATGTATGATCACTGATGTATGATCAGTGGCGCATGATCAGTGATGTATGATCAGTGGCGTATGATCAGTGATGTATGATTAGTGATGTATGATCAGTGGCGCATGATCAGTGGCGCATGATCAGCGTACACGTGGTGCGCATGCGTAATTGACATCACGTGTTCGCTGTGTGAGCGCGTGACGAGCGCCACGTGCTCCGCAGTCGTGCCCTGACAGCCGCCTTATCTTGCCCATTTTTACAGGGATAATCTACGAGTATTCTCATCATTTCATAATATTTAGTCGGCCTAAACGAGGGACCAAAATACTTTTTTACCATAGAATTCAAAGAATTTTTCAATTGAGATATAAATTTGCATTTGAATTTGAAATTTTATTCGACTTTCATTTTAATCCTTTTCACTGCTACAATTTTCAGAGAACGGAAGCATCGGAATAGATCTCTATTTATCTGCTGCTCCGTAAACGTGATAAGCATTCCTCCAACCACCTGCCGTGAAGTTGAACCTCTCGTGACCAGCTGTCCTGAGGATGTGATGACATTCCTCCAACCACCTGACGTGAAGCTGAACCTCGTGGAGCTGAACCTCTCGTAACCAGCTGTCCTGAGGATGTGATGACATTCCTCCAACCACCTGTCGTGGAGCTGAACCTCTCGTGACCAGCTGCCGTATTTTCCTAGTAGGAAGTAGAGCTACCACCCGAAGGAGTCCTCAGCCGAGTGCTCTCTGATTCAACGAATGAATCCTCAACGTGGTGCTCAGTAATTAAATCTGATAAATGAAGACCTGATTGTGGGGAGATTCATAGTTTGTAGTAAAAATTATACTTTAAATTTTAGTCTTCTCTTAAAAACTCTCTTAAAATTTATTCTCTCTTAACTCTCTTCTCTTAAAATTTATAAATGAAACCGTATGTTAGTTAATGGAAGAAATTTCAGTTCTTCTTTAGAAGCTCAGTTTGAAACGATATTGTTCCCACTTACATCTTCGGTGTTCTCAAGCACAGTCATATTGTTCTCATCGAAAAAAAAAAACGTTCTATTCATCCACATTCAAATTTCTCAATCACCCCCGCTTTGTTCTCATCTTTTCTCACATTGTTCTCACCCTCCTCACTTTTTTCTCACCCTCACCCACTTTGTTCTCATCCACACCCATATTGTTTTTACCCTCACCCACATTGTTCTCATCCATACCTACATTGTCTTTACCCTCACCCACTTTGTTCTCATCCACACCCANCCGACCTCGTTGGTGCCGCGCCGTATCCTGAAGTATCCTTGCTCGCCCCAGTCTTGCCCCCACGAGTTCTTCACGATCCAATACTTCATCCCCGACGCCTCGTCCACGCCGTAGCCCACCACCAGTACAACGTGGTTTACCGTCTGAAATTTTGGGAAATAAATTAAGTGGAATGTAACTTTAATGTTAGTGTCCTTCCACTCAATAATTCAGTTAGTCTATTTATGTTCCCATTAGAGTCAACTAATTATTCTTCAGGTACAGTGCGGCTTATCTATACATAGTATAGACCCATCATCTTATCTACATTATATTTTCGAATGTCATCTTTTGGATTCGTGCGCATGAAGCCTGGCGCAGTAATTATAATAGACCACTCGAGCGCTTAATTGTCAACAATGCATGCGTACTTTTCCGGAATATTACCTCGATCAGATATATGCTTTTTGATGATGGAATTATTGAGCGTTGAGAAATTAGAAAGGGAAAGTTGTATTGAAAAATTAATTTAAATTTTATTCATTTAATTTTAAATACTATTGCCTTCAAATTACAAAATGAAATTTGAACGGGAAGTGTATAAATACTGAAAGTTTCAGCGAGAATTTCTTTCAGCAACACTCTCTTATTTGAAGATAGTCAATTATTGTTATTCGTAGGAACAGGTTGTCAAAGTTCAGGGCCTTATGAACTGCAACTCTTCTCTAATGATAATAATGGAAAAGGAAAAATTTTGTCTCTACGCTTTTAGCCTCAATGCATGGAACTACGTCTTCAAACCATATGTTGCGTCAAAACCTACCATGGGTTTTCTCTCACTGTCTATCCCACAGTCAAAAAAGTCCCACTATCTGAAAGAAATCGGTCAGCCATAGAATGGCGCCGCAGGCATAAATTTTGAACTTCAGAACTATACAGTCAAATGAAGTTTTTCAGAGATACCAGGCTTGAGGAACCGAATTTTCTGTCGATTTATCTTGCAGTAAAAACTAAATTCAGTAACAGTTTACTCTCTTTCAATTCATGGCAGTTTCCTCTAGCATGATTTTACGGTTTAATTGAAACCTGTTTATTACAACACTGTTGTTTAGTACTGGATGGATTTAGACCAGTTTTTGATAAAATAGGATTTCTGAATTTTTTTTTGTCATTGAAATAATCAGTTAGATGTTGTCTTAATTTAAGTTATGCTAAATTATACTATCATAGGTATAGACTTACATAGACAGGGTCAAAGTCCCTCTTCACGGCCGGAAGATGGACATAGATGCCTTGATGGTAGCCCGAGAAGTCCGACTCTACGTTGAAGTCCACAGCGATGGGGCCTTCCTTGACGAGGGCTTCCATCATGAGGGCCTCGTTGGCGCCCCCGTAATACCCTCCCACGAAGGCGTACCTGCTCACGTAGGTACGGGCGCAACTTGGATCCGTCGAGCATTCGCTTTCCTGAGGGAAAAATAATGCACATGATCAATATATATATGCATAAGTACATGTACATGTACAATATACATACATAAATATACATCATAAAATGCATAAAAAATACGAGTTCTATAAGAAGCCAAAATTAGAAACTTTGAAACCTGTTGCCTTATTGGATGAGAGACGATATGTCATAAATTTCATTGCGAGTTGCCGATCAATTCTTACTATATATGCCCACCTTTCGTCTGCAAACAATTGTCAAATATTTTGTCAGTTTATTCGGATACATCATCCCTAGCTAATGGTATTCGTCTCTAAAATTCTTGTTAATTGGAGTTAATGTCGGTAGACAAAGGGCAGAGACGCGGATTTCAGAAAGGCAAAAGTTACATCCTTTCCGACTCAGAGTTAGAAGTTGCCCTATCTATTCACACGGTCACAACTCCAAGGTAAACGCTGCCCTATCTACTCACACCTCCAAGGTAGACGCTGCCCTATCAACTCGCACCTCCAAGGTAGAAGTTGCCCGATCTACTCACGCCTCCAAAGTAGAAGTTGCAGGACTCATTCACAAAGCCGATGTCTTTGGCGTAGCGTCCGGCGATGAGGTAAGCGAAGCCTCCGTTGCAGCCTTCTGACAGGCGCGAGCAGGACACCACTTCCTGTGGTCAAAAATAACTTTCTATCTCGATGGATATCATCAAGTATTTTACAGTATATTTCTAAGCCTATATACATTTGAAATTGGTACATTTTAAAATTTTTAATTTATGCAAAATATTTATTATATGTTGTATGCATATCGTGTCGCTTCATCTTTTCTTCTACTCTATTGTTAGTCACCCATTATTATTTTGTAGGGCTATCTCTAGTAGTAGAATGTGCATGTCAAATTTTCTAGTAGTTCACGGGTCGGTTCGTGAGTTAAATATTAACTTTTTTGTTTGCTCAGGAAAATAAATGTAACCTTACCTGCGGACTGAAGATATCTTGTCTGGAGTTGTTGGTCAGGATCCTGACTCTGGATTCGAGTAGGGCGGTGGAGGCGAAGGCGTAGCAGGACCCGCAGTTGCCTTGGTCCCTGACGGGGGACACGTAATTCACTCCCTCCACGTCCCGCCAGTCGAAGTGTGATGGCAGGAGGGCTGCACGGGACAGTTCTTCCTTGGTCGTGGGCTTGGGGGGTGGCAGGGGAGAGTAAAATCCACCGGCACGCTGCAGCATTTCGCGATTGGTGTACCTGAAGGGTGATCGCGAGTTGTTAAATTAGTTGAAATATATTTGCTATTTGCGTGGTTATTTTATAATATTCTCTAGTATTTTCTCTCAGCACATTTCACTCTGCGTTTTTCGCTCGGATTTTTTCACATAACATTTTTAATTCAACATTTTCCACTAATACCGTTCAAAATGGGGATAGGCTTTCGCAGTCCACGAGGTTTGCGCTTCATTGATGCGTCGAATGAATGCTTTGTTGTTGCGGAAGAACTCATCTGGATTTCTTAGAACAGGTACGTGATACTTCCGGGGAGCTGACAGGCCCTGTGACAAGAGTCATATTCCTAAACTTTTTATTACAAGCTGCATAATTAATAATGAAAAATTATTAGTAGCAATAATAGCTTGAAGTTTTTTTAGTAAACTCACCTCTATGAGGAAATTACTTTTAAACTGTACCCAAGAAAATTACGTGTGAACTGATAACTGATAATTAGAATGGTTCTCTTGAGTGCCGTCGATATCTTGTTCTCCTTCCCAGATAGTTTCATAATTCTGTCTGCTTGTGCTACACTTAAAGTCCTAAAGCACCACTCAAGATAATTTTCCTACGTCCTCGACTTCATTGTCTCCAAAGAAACATTTTGAACAATATTCGACCTCCACTTAGTCTCTTTTTTGAAAACGCAATTGCAAGTCTTTCACATATAGTAAATGTGAAAGACTTGCACCCTCACCCTCAAAATGTTTCACTGCAAACTTTGTGGCGCAATGATCAAATAATGAGCACTGTTTCTGTTAAGAAACGTTTTCTTAATCATTCGAATAATTAATACTGGTTTATTACATACTTTAAACGTAGCCTTGACAGCGCTGAAGCAGGACCAGTGGCGCACGGTGGTGTCCCGAGCCCAGCCCACGTGGAGGTGGTCGCACCAAAAGCCGCTGCTGTTGTACGCGAAGTTCGCCCAGTACGAACGCTCGTTGATGTTCACCTTCAACATATTTTTTAGTTTTATTCATGCTTCAAATTTCAAGCTAATTTTATCAACATAAATACGTGCTAATGTATAAATTTACTCGAAGAGGTTGAGTTTTGTTGAGGCAATGATAGGAATTACTTCGATGTTGTTCACGAACTGCATTAATTAAGTCGCACCGACAGACCAATTTTACTGTAAACAATGCACATGTAAAGGATGAACCATACCTCAAACCCTTGGTTGTAGATGAGCGTCCATGTTCCTGTGTTGCCGAGCTCGTCGGTGACCAGGTTTGGGTAGGTGAGAGTAAACTGTTTTTGGTGGACCACTTCACCAAGCTCGCCGCTGCAGTCCAGAGAAGGATCTCCAGTTCTCGCCGACTCAGACACGATCCAAGTGCCAACCGCGTCAGAGAAGCGGCAGTCAATGGGCAGGTCGGCCCTGCAGAGCCCGGCTAGTGCCACCAAAACCACCAATCGCAACTGTTGAGTAAACCATCGTACTATGAGTGAAACCAAGGCGACAAGTCGCAGTCAGTAATTTGGCTCAATAGAATATAGTCTCCTCGGTTGATAAGAGCAAGGAGCTATACAAGGATCTGACCACTATTTTTTCCTCATAACTTTACTCATCAGAATGAAGAGCGGAAAATTATAGCATGTAAATTAACAAGTTATGTCATAGGACTAAACACAAGTTGTTAGACTTCAGCCTTACACAGGAGGATGAACATTATAAGTTAAATACCAAATAACCTTGGACAATTATGCTGCGACTCACCATGTCTGATGCGTAACTGCTGTGGAGACTGAGAAGAGGCTGACTATTTAAGGGAGGCGCCAATCTCTGCTGAGTGGGAAACATAACAGCTGTTTCTCCGATTACCAAGCATTATCATTGTGAGTGACGTGCAGTGTCATTATGACTGGCATGCAGTATCATTATGAGTGGCATGCAGTATCATTATGAGTGACATGCAGTATCATTATGAGTGACATGTATTATCATTGTAAGTGGCATGCGAAGTTAATTTTCTTGTTTGAAGTCGCAAAAAATGTTTGCGATTAGAACTTGCTCCAGCTGGTGAGGAAGAAACATCAACTTTAGTTCAGTATAAGTCAACATAAATTCACTAGAGGCCTGAGTCATCAAATAACTTTTCGAATATTGAGCAAAATAAGTAATGCGTTTTTTATAATGGCGTTTTGCATTGATAATTTTGTCGTATATCCTTTGTGTTCAAAGTAGTTTACCCAAATAGAATAATTTCGTTAGCATTTGATTTTTTTAGACCATTTACATGATTTTCATTTCAGTGCTCACAGTGGGCGCATTGTGTAACGTTGTGTACATAGAAAAAAATAGAAAAATTAACTGTAAAAAATAATTTATTTCTATAAAAAATCACATTGTATTTCTTTCGTTCCACAACCAGTAGAAAGATGGTAACTAAAGCCTACCATGCAAATAACACGAACTCCGGAAAATAAAATTTAATTTAAGACTTAAATCACAGACATTTAATTCAATTCCATGCAAATTTGTTTAAGCCGCAAATAGGTAATACGGTGACGCGTGTGGCACGTTTCACCGTGCACTGTACGAGGTAGGTTATACTTCGTGTGACGCGGCCGGCACTTATCACGGAGGTCTGTACAACAAAGCATAGATGTCCACGAGCTCGTTTACCATTTCATTTTGTTACCTGTGTTCCCTGTTTCAATTCGTCGGGTGACAGTATTGCTGAACTTCGAGAATGCTCGCGGCAGCTTCTCCAATTTTTTCCCCTATAATACGTCATTTTTCCATACATTGGGCTGGTGAAATTAAAGGATTCTAAATACAGCAATAAATAGAGGAGGACTGTCAACGAAAGCATGACAAAGCATGTAAACGAAATGGATAAATGTAAATAGAGAAAAATTGGTAAATAAATTATTTGAGCATTGGCTTTTGTAACGAATCAGTGAATGGTAATAAACGCGATTCGACCAGTGGATGGAGAAGACTTCGAGACTTTCGAGACATTGCAATCGGTTTTTAACGAGGCGCAATGCCGAAATTAAATGGAGTAGTAGCTACTCTAAGGCGACATCACTTAAAAGCAAGTGAAATATATAGGTATCTTGGACTAGACCGTATGACCGCTCTAAAAAATTTCAATATTTTCAATGCGTATTAAGACTGCGCAGACGAAATGTTGCGTAAAAACGTAGCGTCTGCATGGATCTGCTTCTATAGTAGGGAACGTGAATGTGAGTAATACAGTGATATGCATGATAATAGCGAATCATGAAGCGACATGAGAACTTGAGGTGTAGAATTTCATGACCGAGGATGTTATTAAGAGGCATGAGCAATTGCATAGGTGCATGAGTTACAACGTGTTATTTGTGCTGGATTTGTTTGGAGTGACGTGGAGAGTGTTGGGCTACTAAATTCACTCTTCGCCGGATGCCTAACCTACCCTAAATAATTGAGAACATCAACGGGATAAAATAAAACCAGATGGATAATTCATCAAATTTTTCCAGAAAAATCAACTGGAGGTGAACGAAGCGTCGCGCAGCCGTGTGATGTTCTCAAGGAATCACTGTCGCCGACACGCACAGACTCTCGATGCCGACCTCGTTGGTGCCGCGCCGTATCCTGAAGTATCCTTGCTCGCCCCAGTCTTGCCCCCACGAGTTCTTCACGATCCAATACTTCATCCCCGACGCCTCGTCCACGCCGTAACCCACCACCAACACCGCGTGGTTCACCACCTGCGTGGAAAGGAATTGTTAACTGATAAATAAATTTCAACTAGCGAAGGAACACAATGCAACAAAAATTTTTAATAACCAATTTATTTAAAATGAATTGAAAGCCAACAAAAGATGATATTAAAGAAGATTAAACTGCTATATCGAGCGTCACAGGTCATTGATTTCGCGTTTAGGGAATCGATTATTTGAATTAACCGAGGTTTCGAGCGGTGTTACCACCTCATCATAGTCCACTCTATGAAATTTGTCGAAACTTGTTTTGGATAGAAATTAGCACTCACTATGAACGGGTCGAAGTCAGCCTTGACGTTACCGACGCCGTGTACGTAGATGCCTTCACTGTAAAGGTAGAAGTCGGCGGTGACCTCGAAGCCGACGGCCAAAGGGCCTTCAGTGAGGAGGTTCTCCAGCATCTCCTCCTCCGTGCAGCCACCGTAGTATCCTCCGAGGTACTTGTAGTCGCTCACGTAGGTACGGCCACACGAGACGTCCGTGCCGCACGTGGCAGTGTCCTGGTACGAATTGTTACGTTTATAACGGTTTATTCGAGAATTATAAACGTTTCAGTGTTCGGTTCAACGTCAAAAATTCTATCGAATATTTTCACCAAAAAACAGGAGAAATGTTTTCTTAAAGAGCCGTCAAGCGTCCAGTCATTGACATCATAATTTATTATGGACATTTTGGGTGGCATTATATGGGGCATTCATTTGATCTTAATTTCATGATGTATTAGGTGCAATATTGCGTTATTTGAAGCGTTCACCTCGCCCAGGTATGGGTTACACTCCTCCGCTACGAAGCCCTGATCCTGCGCGTACCGTCCAGCGATGAGGTAAGGGAAGCCCCCAGCGCAGCCCTCGGAGATGCGCGAGCACGACACCACGTCCTGTACAGTGACGGGCAACGTTAACGCAAGCCGACGAAAATGTGTCTATGAGAAGATATATATATGTATATTGTTTGCAGCATTTTTTTTGAAGTCGATAGTGATACGACACCACATCTAATGATGGGACGTTCTTCACTAACCTAAGCCGTGCGAAAAGACGTCTGTGAAAAGATATATATGCGTATAAAATGTTTGCATTGAGGTAAGACTCTACACACCTGGGTACTCAAAATGTCAGACCGCGAGAAGTTGGTCTTTATCCTGAGCCTGGACTCAAGCATGGCAGCCGACGCAAAGATGTAGCAAGAGCCGCAGGATGCCTGGTCCCGCACAGGCGTAACGTAATTAACGCCATCGACGTCCCGCCAGTCGAAGCTCGTTGGCAACAACGCGGCTCTCGCCTTCTGCTCCGCGGTTGCCTTGCCAGGGGCGGGCAAACGGAACTTGCGTGAGCCTCCGCGACGCAGCATTTCTCGCTTAGTGTACCTGCATTCAGAATATGTTTGCAAGTTCAGCGAAGCAGGAATGGAATCTTTCAAATAAATTTTCTAGCTACATTTTAGGAAGCGTCCCACTCTTATGTACGCTTGATATCAAAACAAGCTGATTTGATAATCTAAACTAGAGATTAATAATGGAATTTATGCGCGAAGTGTCCTTGGAAACATGTCGAACTTAAATCTTTGTTTGAACTCATAAAGAGGAAAGCATGTAAGGCACTTATAACGGTGGACTTCCAATCCAGTTGACTATCATACGAAAGTTCTCTTATGATAGTCAACGTGAATGGAAGGCCTTCGGTCGATAATAAATGGTTTACAGTCGGCCATTTGTTGCAAACCGACACTACGACTGATATTTACTGGCATTACGAATGCGGCTTACTGTTCATGTTGAGGGTAAGCTTTTGCCGTCCAGAAGTTCTGAGCAGAATTTATCCTCTCGATCATTTCAAGATCATTTTTGTATGGTTCATCCAATCCAGGAAGTTCTTCCTCGACCAAGTGACGGGGCTTATGTGCATCTTGCTGGAAAGCCAGAAAGTTTACTAGTATTTAAATTCAAAAGTCTATGTTTTCTCGCGTTTCAAAAGTCTAGGTTAGTTTACGTTTCAACAATTTATAATTATAAATTTTAAATGAGATGAGCATGAGACCTGGGAACAGCAATCGCTCAAAATCCTACATCATTGTCACGAGTTATAAGAATTAAAATTTCATTAGTAAGCATAATTTACAGATATCTTCACATTGAAACGACACGCTCATCATTTCACGCATTCTATTCCACATTTCAAGTCGTCTTGATTACCTAAATGAAATGCTCAAGAGTCTACGGTTGAAAAATAATTGAGTCATTTGTCTAAATAGTTGAGCACTTTCTCACCCATAGTTTAGCATGGAGCAGAAGTTGCACCGAAACCCCATCATCCAAGCAAAATTGCGTCAGGATGACCAATACCAGCGTGAGAAGCGTGAGACTTGTCTGAATCGCTATTCAGAAAAGTCTCACAAGTCTCAAGACACGGCCTTGTTACCTGAAACCCGGCTTTCTTGTCTATAAGACAAAACTTGTTGCCCGAGACCCGGCCTTGTTGCCTAAGATTCGGCGCCTTGTTACCTGAGACCCGGCCTTGTTGCCTAAGACACGGCGCCTTGTTACCTGAGACCCGGCCTTGTTGCCTAAGACACGGCGCCTTGTTACCCGAGACCCGGCCTTGTTGCCTAAGACACGGCGCCTTGTTACCCGAGACCCGGCTTTCTTGCCTAAGACACGGCGCCTTGTTACCCGAGACCCGGCTTTCTTGCCTAAGACACGGCGCCTTGTTACTCGAGACCCAGCCTTGTTGCCTGAGACCCGGCCTTCTTGTCTAAGACACGGCATCTTGTTACCTGAGACCTGGCCTTGTTACCTGAGACCCAGCCTTGTTACCTGAGACCCGGCCTTGTTGCCTAAGACACGGCGCCTTGTTACCTGAGACCCAGCCTTCTTGTCTAAGACACGGCGCCTTGTTTCCCGAGACCCGGCCTTGTTGCCTAAGACACGGTGCCTTGTTACCCGAGACCCGGCCTTGTTGCCTAAGACACGGCGCCTTGTTACCCGAGACCCGGCCTTGTTGCCTAAGACACGGTGCCTTGTTACCCGAGACCCGGTCTTGTTGCCTAAGACACGGCGTGCTATACAGAAAGTGCCGTGCTATACAGATACAGATTAAGATTAAGATACAGATTAAGTGCTATACAGAAAAGACGCCTCGGAAGCGTGAACGTTTCAACTTTGCGAAAGGCGATTATGTTAAACTTCGTGAATCAGTGAGTGCAGCGAACATTTCGGACTGTATCATGAACATGAATGTGGCGGAGTCTTGGTCATTCATCAAGAACACGGTTATGTCTGCAGTTGATGCGTGTGTACCCAAGATCTGTCTCTTATACACATCTAGATGTGTATAAGAGACAGACTGTAAACAATGCACATGTAAAGGATGAACCATACCTCAAACCCTTGGTTGTAGACGAGCGTCCACGTTCCTGTGTTGCCGAGCTCGTCGGTGACCAGGTTTGGGTAGGTGAGAGTAAACTGTTTTTGGTGGACCACTTCACCAAGCTCGCCGCTGCAGTCCAGAGAAGGATCTCCAGTTCTCGCCGACTCAGACACGATCCAAGTGCCAACCGCGTCAGAGAAGCGGCAGTCAATGGGCAGGTCGGCCCTGCAGAGCCCAGCTAATGCCACCAAAACCACCAATCGCAACTGGTGAGTAAACAATTTTACTATGAGTAAAACAATGTAGCAAAGAAGCTGATCTGTTATTTAACTGATAACGATTTCAATGCAGTTTTGTCAAAAATATTATGCTGAATATTTGAAATTACAAAAATTTTAGACCTAAAACTTTTCAGTTAAAAATGTTGTTAATGGTCATTCTGCAGGTCTTACCATATTTTCGCTGAACACCGCAGGACAAATGAGTAGCGCTGACTTAGCTCAGCGAATAAATAGTCGCTTGGCGTTGATAGTGTCGGGAAGACCGCACATGCACTGATAGCTCGGTGTAATAAAAGCATTGATGTCACCGCTACACCTCAATCGAACCGACCTCATCTCAACATAAAATATCAAATGCTGGTAACTTAAATGTTGAAAGAAGCTTAACAAATTTTATTTTTATGGCGTTTAGGCTAGTAGCTTTTAATTGCTATATTTTAAATATTAAATTTAGAAATTTCGAAAATTGCCCAGATAAACCTAAGCGCGTATCTGATATTCGATAGTCCTTGGAGATAAGAATAACCTTCGCAGTCACCGTCAGCTGGCGACTCGCTGATAGCTATCTGCAGTTTCCATACGCCTGGGAAAAACACCTCGAAAACAACATGGTATAGATGCTAGTTAGTTTTTTTTGCTTATCATAATTGTAATCTAATATCGAAGCGAAACATTTTTCAGGCTGCACGTCTACACAGTGAATTTAAGAGCGACGTTCATTTTATGCTGCGAAATAAAAAGATCTTGTAACTCTCTTTTGTTCGTTTTATTTGCTATGTGTTAAAGAAGAAATCATTGGCCACAATTGTGGAGATTGCCCCGGCTGTTAGGATGACTGCTCTGAAGATCTCTGGGGAAGAAAAAAGTAAGCCACCGCAGCGACCTGCAGCAAGGGGGATGAGACGCTCAAAACTCCTCATTAGCATGGGGAGAACATTAAGAGGCTTAACCAGGCTAGTGGCTTCATCGTTCACAGGCGTTCTCAACGTCTCGCTTCCTATGGTAACTCTTAACGATTACCTCCAAAAATTCCACCATTAACAACACTTGCCGCGATGTTAGATGACGGCTTTCCACGCAGCCAAATGAGACTGCTAGATTTTCACCAACTGCGAGAACCTGTGTACATTGAATTATTTTCTCCTGGACACAGAAAAGCAATTTAGTATATAAGCCCATGCGCATTATGAAGTAATGTGGAAATTTATAACCTGCCTACGTCATTATTGTACATACGCTTGTTAATCGTCTCCTGTTACGAGGCGAGATCGTTGATTGTTAGCTTAAACGGAAAATTATTATTGCCTTAACATTACATCTGTGAAGACGTCCTGCTCGGACCGGAGTAGTATTATTGTTATATCTTAAATTAGACCGGATTAGTACTCGTGTTAAATATTAAATCTGACCGGAAATTATTACTCGCGTTAAATCTTGAATAAGACCGGATTACTACTCGTGTTAAATCCTTAACTTGAGTGCATGCAAGTAATTCACAGCTCTAAGGCTAGTGGCTAAATTGGTTAAACTCAGAAGCAACACAGGGCCAACAACCCAAAGGGGTTCACCCACTGACTTAAAGCCTGCATAGTGAGGTCTTGAACGAGCCAATACAGAAGTGCTAAACTGCATTTAAATGGAACAAAACATAATGAAAACACACTCACACAGAGTTAAATTAACTATATTTAAGTACGAGCGAACACTCCTCATATTATTTTCGTTTTTTTATTTTTACGGTTCTCAATAAGAACTCTTGTCTAGGGTTCCTCACAGGAAACAATTAGGTTAGTTATTTTGATTATTGTTCGTCATTTATTTGATTATCTTACTGAATTAAACTGAGTTACAATTGATTGCAAGATAGGTTCTAATTTCTTATCTACTTTATCCAGATGAGAATCTTCCCAGCCGCCGAACTTGCAACGTAATATACGTGACCTGCAGTACTATCATCTTGCTTCTTTAGTTGTTACCGGCCACTACATTATTTGTTATGTAACCCGCGATTTAATGGTCAGGTCCGAGAGAGAGTCATTTAACTTGCGTTACAGTGACTTATTGATTTGAATTCGAATATTGTTATATTAACTACTAATCTCTGTAATTGCAGAGATCAGAGATCACTGATTGATTAGAGATCAGAGATCACTGACTGATGTCAGTGATCTCTCATGCAGTGCGAACAACTACCAAGTTTATAAATTCATCCTGGATACTGGCCGATGTTCATCCACTTCGTTTGACGTTACAATTACGAACTAGAGGCAGCGAACTTACGCTGCATTGATATCTTTTTTTTTCCTATTGTAACTAAATTCAATAGTAACGCTTATAGTTATATGTAAGCTAGCATCTTGACGGAGTTTTGTGTACACATTCCGATGATGTAAAGAGAACCAAAACCATGCGATGGTTTTGATCAAAATCAAAACGGCGAGATAATGTGAAGAGAACCAAAATCAAGAGGTGATATGAAGAAAGCCATTTAATGAGCAGATGTATGAGAGCACATTATAGGTAGATTCATGAGGGAACAATATGAACGCATATTGTTTGCATCAACAGCGCAATGTTCAATTTTGCATCAACGTATGAACATTGAACATCATGAACAAAGGTACGCACATCATTAATAAATAATACACGCACATCATGAATAAGTGCGCGCGCCCAACGGCGGAACAGCGCCGGCACAGCGCTGGCAGAGCGCCGGCACAGCGCCGGCACAGCACGCTGGCTGCGGACAGTTCAGGTCTCAGGTTTTAAGCCTTGGATTCACCAGCTTAATTTTGGGGTCCCGGAAAATCCCTGGGCAGTAAAACGTCCGCGCCGCGTAAAAAAGGAGACAAAATTATCATTAAAACTCTTAGATGGTTTTTATGCGTCCAAAGAAAATGGTTGAACGGACGCTGATAACAAATTGGGAACAAACGCTCGTCTCGAAAAAATGCGTCCCTGTATTAATGTTATGTTAGAACAAAATAAGATTAGTTGTGTCTTGGCGAAATTTAATCTATATTTTTTAAATTTGATCTGTATTCCTTGATTTATTACGTATTTTTGTCTTCGAGTAGGATATTGTAGTAGAAATCCTTATCAATTATAGTCTTATACAATAGCAGGCGGTGGCGATATTGCTGTTATAGGAACATATTACCACCTAAATAACGCTGATTAGAAGGATCTTGCGTGTGCAGAATAAAGTTTTTCTGAACAAGAAAAAGCTTCCCTGGGTGTGTTTTTAATACTATATATTACAATAAAACAAAATACGGACATACGTCCAATTACGTTCAGAAAAGCAGAGATATTATTGTTACTCAAACGCAGCAACTAATGCATTTACCAAAGCAATGGGAATATTTTGGCCTCCGCACAACAAGGCATCTTGGAAGAAATTGCTCCGGCTGAAACATGGCCGACAACAAAGAATCGGAGCGAAAGCTGAAATAATGCGCCGGTCATTGCAAGTGACTGGGACTGTCCATCAGCAGCACGACTGATGACACTGATTGCGTAAGTGGCCCGGAGGCCGACCTCATCGAGAGGACATCAGCGAAGTGGAGAGGGCTGGCCGTAACTCGGTTACGGCCGTAGCGGCCCATGTATCACGGCGGCCAACTGCCCCGAGGAGACCTGTTACACAGATTGACTTCCGCTCTCGAGCTCGTTACATTCTTTCATCGGGATAACTGCAAGCAATAAATATAAAACACTGCTGCTATGCAGTCGTAAACTGCTTGATTCATGCTGGCTTCATAAGTGATGAATGAAAGCATCAGCAATGGGACGAGCAAATGAGAATCTCAGGTTCTTTGTTTAGAAGTTTCGATGTTGGAGAAATTAGCCGCTGTTTTTAGCGGACTGTTAAGTTCTATTGAAATATTTCGATCTTAAACTTCACTGTGCAAACATTACGCATTGGTATGCTCGGAAATAAAAGAAATTCTTGAAGCATAAATATTCTTCGAACAATAATGACTGGTAGAGATTTAAAAATAAAGGGAAAAAATGCGTGTAATTTACCTTGTTAAGACCTTATAGAAGCCTTCAAATATTATGAGCTAAATATACTAAGGGGTATTGCTCTTCCATATTCAATGCACAATCTTGTGTAGAAACACACGCTCTAAAGAAAAATCATTTGGTAGACGGCGTGTGTCTCTAATATTGCTTGAGATTGGCCTAAGAAGCGAGAGAAAGTTTCCCTAATGACCTCAAGAAAGCGCGCGTCAGCAAATTGTTCATTGCATTTGGTAGGAAGGAGGCAAGAAACTAAAGGAGAATCCCGTAAAAATCTTTATTTACTGGCGACATTCAATAAGTTTCTTCAGCATTTTGTTCAAAACTGATGAACGGATCACGCCCAGCCCATGTGAGAAATTACATGGGCTATCCTTAATCTCTTTACCATCTCTTACTATCCTATCCTTATCCTACTATCCAAACTATCCTTAAACTATCCTTATCTCTTTAATTCTTCTATTGAGGCCAGTAAATGAACTGAAGGAATTAACAAGGCATATTTGAGCCTCCGTAAACAGGAGGGAGTGAGGGAAGGCTGGGGGTGAGGGCAGCAGGCACCTGAGGTGCTGGCGTCTCACGAGGGTCGCTTGTCGGCAGTTAGGACTGCGCTGGTTTCTTCCTTCCTTTACGAGTTAATTTATGTAGGAACTTTAATTGAGAACTGAAGAGCTTTTATGGCAGCGAGGCACCGACACTCTTGCACTGAGGCTGTTGCACAGGGCGCTGAGGACACAACCTCGTGCCTCCGTTGGGTTCCGTGACGAAGATAATCAATGAATTATCTCTATTTTTTCTTTATTTAATAAGCATGATTGGAAGGGCCTCATTGATTGATCACTATAACTTTATTCATTTACATCCCATTTTTAGTATTATACATCTTAATTCTAATCAACTTGGTGAAGAATCCAGTAGAAGAAACTCAGCCGGTCAGGGGCTTCCGGCGGTGATGCAGACTCTTCACCGCGTTCGCAACACTGATTTTTCCTAAAATTAGTTTGTGAATTCGGCATCACTTACTTACAACTTTTTCGGCACACTCGAATGCCTGTTCATCTGACGTCTTCGTTACAGTTTGTTAGAATTTATATTCCTATAAATAAATGATATGATAATTGAGCTGAGAGTGAAAGTATCTTCTGTGATATGTTAGAAGTAGTCGCCATTGCGAATATTTGCTAGGCTGCAGCCTACGTTAACAGCCTGGGGCTATACTTTCAAAACTCGCTAAGTTAACGTAAGTACTTACGCTTTATTTTCTTATCTATGATTGGTGGATTTGGCTTGAAAGGCCGTCAATGATTGGCTGATAAACTTACGATCTCTTAACTTTTTCTTAAGGTATAGGCCCTGCAGTGTAACAGCTAGCACATGCTGGACATTGAAGCAAGTATTTCGCCATGCCGTAGCGTAAATAAGCCAACCGCATTACGTCTCGTTTGGAGTAGTTTCTCCTTCTAATATATTATTCATTTCCTGGCACCCAGATGTAGGTATATGTTTAGTAGGTGATTGACAAAAACCTTTGGCAGCAGGAAATGTAATCTTTCGATTCTCTTTTTGTATGCTGTGCAGTTGCGAAACTTCTCTTTTTACAAATTTAATGAATGCAGTTTTAATTTCAATATTTTTATTTCACTTTTTGTCTATTTAATCGTGTTGTGTCATGTAGTGTACCGTGCTGCCTTCAGGTTGCAGGCGTCTACGTCTTGCTTGCCTGTAGTTGAATGACATCACATTTAATACTATTATCGTACTTACAAGTAAAGAAATGTTGATTTTATTCCAAGCTAAAAAGTTAATATATATGTGACCATTTGATTTTCGAACATCTAAATTAAAAAATTTCTGTTTCCATTGCCGGCTCCCCACGACAATAGCATTCTTTCCCGAGGATCACAGTACAATAATTGGCATTACCGTACCAGCGCACGTATCGCAGTCCCCCAACATCTCTATATCCTCAACACGTATCGCAGTCCCCCAGCATCACCACATTCCCACACAAATATCGCAGTCCCTAAGCATCACATCCCCACACAAATATCGCAGTCCCCCAGCATCACATCCCCACACAAATATCGCAGTCCCCCAGCATCACATCCCCACACAAATATCGCAGTCCCCCAGCATCACATCCCCACACAAATCCCCACACAAACACCGCAGTCCCCCAGCATCACATCCCCACACAAACATCGCAGTCCCCCAGCATCACATCCCCACACAAACATCGCAGTCCCCCCAGCATCACATCCCCACACAAACACCGCAGTTCACCAAGAAGGGCGGCGTGCGCTATCGTCAGTGCTGGGATCAGCTCCGACGCGGCCACTTCGCATGCAAACGACCGAATTAGAGTCCCGACGCGGTCCTCGAGTTACACTTAGAAAAATGTCACCCGCTTCATGTCCACAAAGGACGTAGAGCAACGTCTTGCCTCCAGAACGAGGCCACTTTAGAAAAAATCGCCTACAGAATAAGTTTGTTGCGACAGTGATCACGTGACTTGAAACACGATACGGCCATTAGAGTGCGTGCTGAGCTATTCGGGCCAGAAAAAAATGTTAAATAAATTATGATCCATAGTGATTTATAAAATATACGAGAAATGTAATTAGATGAGCTAGTTCTGAATATCTGCTTAAAGAGGGTTAACCGGTTTTGCGACTGCAAAAATAATTCGATAACGAAAGTTTCTGTCCACGAGGAGGCAATAAGTCCAATGACAGCAGAGAGCCTAGTCTAATTAGGGAAGCTATAGACTGTATAGAGTCTAGTCTATTAGGGTAGACAAGAGTAAAGTCTAAGGGAAGCTACATGAGTATAATCTAAGGGAAAATGAGTCTGGTCTAAGGGAATCTAAGAGTCTAGTCTTAGGAAACTAAGAGTCTAGTCAAAGGGAAACTAAAAATGTAGTCAAAGAGAAGCTATAGCTTGGTTAAAACATGCGTGCCACGCGGTGTTCTCTCAACCGCTGCACAATCTGGAAATATTTGCAAAAAATATTCAGCAAAATTCATTTTGTAGGGTTTTATTACTTTGCGTCCTATCAAGATTCCCGTAAGCCTACTTCTTCATAGTATGCTGTCGAGACTAATTTTTCTCCAAAATGTGTGCACTTCAATAATTGCGTACAATAAATAATACCCTATGTGTGTACTAATGTCATTTCAAAATTTCAAACTCAAGTGTTGTAAAACTCTTCCCCTACTTGATAATGAATGAAGTTGCATTCGAAACTTCGTAAAATTATAATAAAATGTCCCTTGGAACCTAATATCTGACTTTTCAGTTCCTATCAAGAGCCTATATAATTCGCCGAATAGAGAAAAACAATGAGAAAATTGTCAATAAGAAATACTCTTGGTCTTCAATGAAACCTGCATTAAAGAACAGCTTCTGCCAAACTACACCAACTTCAATAATGATGCAGGCAGTAATTGCCTAGCAATAAACTGATTTGACAGAACAGACTACTGACAGAGCAGGCTACTGACAGAGCAGGCTACTGACAGAGCAGACTACTGACAGAGCAGACTACTGACAGAGCAGACTACTGACAAAGCAAACTACCTGTCTCTTATACACATCTAGATGTGTATAAGAGACAGACGTACATGAGGTCACGACCACTCGTCTCGAAACGTACATGAGGTCACGACCACTCGTCTCGACACGTACATGAGGTGACGACCACTCGTCTCGACACGTACATGAGGTAACGACCACTCGCCTCGACACGTACATGAGGTCACGACCACTCGCCTCGACACGTACATGAGATAACGTCCACTCGTCTCGACACGTACATGAGGTGACGACCACTCGCCTCGACACGTACATGAGGTCACGACCACTCGTCTCGACACGTACATGAGATAACGTCCACTCGTCTCGACACGTACATGAGATAACGACCACTCGTCTCGACACGTACACGAGGTAACGACCACTCGCCTGGACACGTACATGAGGTAACGACCACTCGCCTGGACACGTACATGAGGTAACGACCACTCGTCTCGACGCGCACAAAGGCCTGGACCACTCATGATCGTCTCAGGAAAGATCGAGACGCCAGAGAACCTATATTATGCAAGACATGGCAGTGAGAGTAAATTTACAGTATTAGCCCAGTAAAACTATATGCTCGCTAATTATATGACTGAATCATTCTAATTTTTAGGGAGAAGCTACTCGATTTCCCCTAATTTCCTTCTTTAGTTGAGAAATAAACGAAGGATAAAGTATTTGCTGCGTAACGTAAGGACCTAACAACTCCAAAGTCTTGTCCTTTTAAACAATATAACTCTTATTTACAATTGTTATTGTTCATCTGTACAAATAAGTCAATAATACAACATAAGTTAACTCCTCTTAATAAATTCTATGAGTCAAATAAAATAGTAAAAGCTTTTCTCTTGTACATCCAAGAGACGCTAAACAGCACATCCTCTTAGCTGCAGCATCACGGGTAGACGAAACATAATTCAAGTTCCCTGTATAAATGACAGAGTGCGCACTGGAGTTTCCTGGAAGCCCTCACTCACTGTTTCACCAACTCATGACAAACAAAAAAATGCGAGTCTGAATATTATCAAAATCTAACGCAGGTGCTAATGTAATCAATATAAACGAAGCTCTAACAACAATAAAATACAATGTCATCTTTATCACGAGAAAAACCACAGATATTCGAAATCAAATCCGTTTTTTATACGCCCTCAATATCATAACGAGGTCCTCCAGAACAGAATTGTAGTATTCTCAGATGAACGCGCAAACAGAGGCATAAGGTCATCAATGAGGAAGCACGACTACAACTGCTTGACGGGACACGGTCGAGCAACGCGCAAATGCCACTTCAACAAATTAAACGAGTAAATCTTTCATAGCTTCAAGAAGATAAAGTTTTGGGTGCAGAGGCAGCCGAGAGAGCAATCGCTCGCTGCAAGTCGCTGTTTTCTTGCTCCTCTCTTCTCTTGTTTTCTTCTTCCAACCTCAAACTTTCTCTGGCAGCCCAGCTGAGCTGTTCCGACTCCGACAAAGCACCTCCGGAGCTGCGTGCAGAGTTGCTCGAGAATGTCGCACCGCTGCTGCTGGGAAAAGGGCTCGAGCTTTTGCTCTCAAACGCTTGACTAGATGTGACGCTACTGCGGTCTGCAGCAGAGCTCAGGTCTGTATACATCCGCTTCTGTGTGATGTTCGAACCAAAGCTGTTGTTAAAATCCAATTGATCACTAAATGCGTTGTTAAAATCCAGCTTACTAGCTGTAATTACTGGATTAAAGTTAAAGTTACTAGCTGTAGATGATAAACCGAAACTATCACCTTTACTTTTTCTCAACGAGGAGGACGAGCCAAAGTTTTCGTTAATTAAATCTTCATTGCTAATCCAAGTGTTTTTCTTTGGGGACGAGCCAGACGGCGCAAGTGGATCGAAAGAATTCAAGTCTATAAATGGCTCCGCCAACGCTGTTTTAGATCGCACTGGAAGGTTCTGCTGCTTGGCGAAGACGTTCGCCACAGGATCGTCAAGAACTGACTTGGAGCGTCCTCCGTACGAGGTATCCGCGACACCTAGAGATAAACCTGAAAATAACTTGCTAACATCGATGGGGTCACGAGTAATACTTTTCTTATTCTCAGTTTCTGACTCAATGACGTTTTTGTTTGCGTCAAAAGAAACACTGAAAGGGTCTTCTTTTCCGACGAGTTCGTGGCTGCTTGCGTGGCCACCCTCGAATCCGCCGTCAGTTACGAAAGGATCGGGCTCGTCATCCCAAGAAAATTTGTCATCTTCGTTAATGGTAACGTCTTTGAAGGGATCCACTACACCAAAAGGATCTTCCGATGGAGTAATAGCACCCAGGTCACTGTCACCACTGCCACCAAAACCAGCACCAAAATTAGCATCACTGAAGGCGTTAGCTCCAGCGCCATTAGATTTGGCAGTTAGAGACGCGTTGTTCTTGACTGAACTGCTTGTGTTGAATACTTGATTACTACTACCAAAGTTATCAAAAAATGCATCTTTCGACGCGAAAGATGCTGACGACAAGCTTGAAAACTTGCTTCTTTCATCCCTAGATGGATAATCATCCAGCCAAGGCGAACTACCTGACGCCGATTTAGAGTCCGTCGACCCGTTGGACCAATGGGAAGTTTCAAAAGGATCACGGTTACCATTAATTTTTTCGGATGATTTCCCACTATCAAAAGCAAGCTCCTCAAGCGCTGCTGCCGATTGCTTGGAGCTCCACGGTGCGGAGAAGTCATCCTCAAACGTTGTTTTGAAGGCAGGCCTCGTGGATTTGCTCCCAGAGTCGAAGGCGGATGCAAAGCCGTCAGCTCGCCCACGCGAGAACTAAAGAGAGAAGCAAGCCGTACAGAAGTGGCCCGCAAGACACTGGTATTACGTTAGTGCTACTGTTGAGTACAACATGAGTAACGTGGTGACACGAGAAGAAGCGTTACAGACAGCATAGTCATAAAACAGCACGCGACAAATAATTACAATGGTGAAGAAAAATATAATTCAACTCTCAAGATAATGGGAGATAGCCAGAAATGAACATAAAATATTGACGGTTGATGGAAATGAATAAAGCTCCGAGGAATAAAAAAAATATTGGAAGTTGAAAATATAAATAATTATGCCGTATTGTTCAGTACCATATTTAGAAGTGAAAAAGAAGGGTGAAAAATTTACTTTTCAAGGAGAATTAGAGCCAATAGAACGGAGTACAAGTAAAAAGAAGGAGTAGCAGCGATTAAGACGCACATCGGTGCGCATAGTACAAAAGAAACAAAGTACATTTTCATGCATGGAAAAGTTGAAGAGTTGACAGTGGAGATGGTCCGTGGTGAGCATGAAAGAGCAAAAAATAATTGTTATTTGGCCGCTATGAAATTTTGATTAATATTAAAATGAGCCAAGTTTTACATATTTATAAAAACTTTCTGCTCAATTTCTACCAACATTTTGAACACATCAGTTGACATTTCGTTCACATGGCCATTCAATTATTACACAAATTGTTATTGTGAAATTAACCTAATCCTAAGCTGCGAGACATCATTAACTTCTTTCATTACATAAGAAATTTCAATTTCTCTAATTTTAATCCATTAACACTTTCACGTGAGACAACGCCAGGTGCGTGAGCTATCAAATGACCGATATTTAATTCTAATTATTCCGCTATATTGAGGAAATATCTCGCATATAAGCAATGGTTGCTATGCATAAACAATTATTCGCTCTGAAATTCATAAATGCATCGTCTGAGCCTGGCATCAAAATATAATTTAATAGTCGTTACATCTGCATAGAGCAACACACCTTGCTGTCGAAATCAGCGAATGCGGCAAAATCTGCAAACCCGTCGCCAGTGTCGTTAACTTTAGCCGAGTCGCCCCAGGCGTCGTCCGTCGGGTTGTTGTTGGAATTGATGGCACTGGAGGCCATTTTGGGTGGAGGGGGGTGAGCAGGACCCTTCTTCGGGGGAGCAGGTCTTGGTGGAGGTTGCTTCCCCTTCTTGGGCGGCAAAGCAGGAGAAGGAGATTCGGGTCTGGGAGGTGGACCCGAGTGCACCGCCAAGTTGTTCTCGGACTGTAACACAAAAATCTATAAGCATCGTTTCAATGTCACTCGTTACAGTAAACGAGAAGATCAAGTCATTAGTCATGAATACACCTTCATTAGGCATGAATACGGGAGATGTAGAGAAATAGTGATATGAATTATGAAGGAGCTTCATGTAAAATTAGATGTGAATATAGTCTAAGCAAATCAACTGCTCAGTTCTCATGTGCACTCATTCCAGAACCAAAAATGGCGCCAGTTGTGATAATATATTATACTAGGATATACATATAAATACAATTAATATTAAAATAAAAAGTAGAAACTGAAGCAGAGAAGAGCACAGCATCCACACCTTGAGATCCCCAGTCTGGGAATTGGAGAAGGCGTCTCCTCCGAAGGGATCATTAGGAGCCGGGGAAGGAGCAGGCTGTGTTGAGTTCTTCTGATCCCAGGATGAAAACGGGTCGTTCTGGCGAGCAATGAACGTTTTAGGTTGAGGTATTGGCAGGCTTCTTTGAATGCATTGCGATTCATATAGAACTAGGAGTGAGCCAATTGAACTGAATTTTAATAAATCAGCGCCGTACGACACACGAGTTAACCAATGCACAAAAATAAAGTACATCACACAATATATCGTGTGTGTCCAATTGCAGATAACATGACGAGAGAACTATGGTATTAGTCAATATAATACTGGATATGAATAGTCTCATTTGTTCAAGTTAAGCTAAGTCGACTTCCACGCGCATGCGATTGCTGAGCAAAATGGATAGTAGAGATGAAGAAATCTATTCACTTTCAATGAATCAACGGCTTCACATGTTACTCGCTGGAACATGTACATGTATGTCTGTAGGAGTTTCGCTCCACTGATGAAAGGTTCATCACCTCGACCCGCCTGAAGACATTTATGAAACATAAACTTGTAGCATTCCTTGCCACGGTAGGAAAATACTATTAAATTTGTTCAGGGTATAAATATCCACGTCTGGATTTCCATTCAAGGCAGTAATACGCTGATTTGAAGCAAAAATGAGAAAACCAAACAAGAGAATTAGCTTACATGTCCGGTATTGCCGCCAAACGCGGAGGCGAAGGGGTCGTGGCCGCCCACGAACGACGTGTCCTTCGCCTTCGAGGTCGCCGTCACATCTGCACACAGCACTCGGTCAGTCTTCACTCGCAGGGAACGCACTTAGCCAATCACTGACAGCTTTTCAAGCTAAATACAACAATCGCAGACGAAAAATCAGCTGCTCCGTAAACTCAAGCGAGTTTAGAGAGCAAGGCAATTGGACCATTGGACCCGGCCCAGATTAACTGAACTCGTCGTCAGTAGCTAGAAAATTGTTGCAAATCTCACAGCTGAAAACAGTAGCACCTGGTAATGAGGTTACTGAGTGATCAGGATAGATTTAAAGCGACTGCAGTTCTCATGACCCCGAAATCTAGACTTTCACATCACATAGGCTGAGAAAGCAGCCCTTTTGACACCAGCGACCAGGTTCACTTACAGTAACAAAAACAACAGTTACCCTAGCTGAGATACACTTGTAAACACTGTCAACGATTAGAGACGTACATATTCAAGACTAAAAGTTAAGACACATAAGCTTCTAAATAAATTTGGGTGGGGCTTATGGTTCTTTTATTTCCAGGGGAGCCACCATGATCACAAGCTTGATCCAGGTAAGCAGTTCACGGCAAGTTCTTTTCGCCCCGCGGAGGTGGTACCACAACCTGCAGAGGTCAGGTGGTACCACAACCAGCAGTGGTCAGGCAAGCAGGTGTAACTCACCGTTGTGTTGAGGTCCAGCAATGCCGTTTTGTTGAGGTTGAGTTCGTACGGGTGACTCCTGGAGAGGAAAGGCGATCAGTACCGACACCCAACATTAATGTTTTCAATCACCCAACATTAATCAACACTTCTTTGTCACTATCACGACAGTCAAGTACACGATCACTCAAGACAAACCTAAAACTGACAGAGGGAAGCACAACATCACTGTAAAGTAGTAGAGGTGTGTAACAAAAAAACTTGAAAGCAAAGAAAACTCCACAAAAATTCATATTATCTTCATAGAAAACGTTTCGGAGTCCAGCTCCATTGCCAGTTCAAAAATTTTAGAACATAGATAAATCAGTAATTCGTACAAGTGGATAACAGTATCAGGTTGTTGTTAGAATCTCAATATAAGTGTACCACATCGTAATAATCAATTATTAAACACGACACACGCCTACATTAATCAACAGATCCTGGAAGAAAATATACGTAGTAACGCATATAAATCATGGAAATCTAAACACATGTAAGCATACGACTTCTAGCTGCACCGCATAGTATATATAACGACATTGGGTTTGAGATCCAAAAATTTCTGTTACTGCTAAAAGGAACTATGGAAGTGATGTCGCGACACAACACATAACCTCAAAGTTTAGTTTTATTAAGCGGAAAGCGTCAGCATTACCTTGAGATGGGCAGGGGTCCGTGAACGTGTGCATGACCTGGGAAGTGGATTATGTGGTGAGGTTGGGGACAGCGTTTGTGAGGTTGTTTGCAGGTCGGGGATGCTGGGGCACTCACCAGAGGCGGGGTCAGTGGTGGTGGTGCGGTCAGTGTGGTCGCAGAGAGTACCTATGTGTGTTGAATTCAGGTCGGAGCTACAGGGACTGGTACACTCACCTGCGGCGGGGGAGTGGGGGAGGTGGTGGGGGTGGGGTCGGTGTGGTCGTAGAGAGGGTCCGTGCAGAAGGCAGGTCGCGGGTCCATGAGGCAGGTCTCGCTGAGGGCGGACGCGTCGGAGGCGTGGATAGCAGCCTCATATTTGTTGAGAGTTTCGGTGAGCTGCAGCTCCACCTCAGCAATGCCGTCCACCTTCTCCCGTAGCTGGGGCAACGAGGCGTGGTTAGTGTGTTGGTTAGACCCAATTGTGAATGCTAGCGCACTTGTACACAAAGGGTAATAGTTATAGTAGTAGATTTATAATATCAGAGTATTAGTTAAAGTATAATAAAGGTAGTGTACACGACCACTGTAAATTAAGTACAGTACAGTGGTACAGCGATCGATTACAGTATAGTAAATGATCAAAAAGATGTCAAGTCAACAAGATACCATGTATGCAGAGGTGAAGGCACCAGTGTCCATTTCTATAGAAACGCACCTGAATAACCTGATCGTTGGTTTTGAGATAACAGTTGCCGAGTCGTTCCAGCTTCTTATTGATGTCAGCAATACTTTGCTCGAGTGTCGTTTCCTCTTTCCTTAGGTCATCAAGTTGCCTCTTCTTGCCCAATACTTCCTCCTCCTGCTCCAAGAGGCTGGCTTCCTGCTCCTCCACTTGCACCCGCAACTTAGCCACCTGTAAGACGCCCTCAAGTTAGTTGAGTCAGGGATGCGATTAATCTACTGTAAATTAAGACAGAATCAAATAAAAATTTTCTTGCTGGGCAGATAGTGGATTTCTTTACAACAATATATTTACAACTAAAGTTTCCCTTCTCACGCAAACTTATCAATTTTTCTAAACGTACCTAAAAAAGCGACAAAACTCATGAAGTCAAGAAATGCTTCGTTATTCAATGTGATGATTATGAAGAGATACGATGGAAATAATGGCGATCTCATTTACGAACTCTGAGTAATTTTAGCCGACATTGAAGTACCCAAACAAAATCTGCCAAACCCAGCACAAAAACGAAAAACCGGAGTCGGGAGTTCAGATTTACTTCAAGATGGCAGGGGGTTTCAATCGTTACGAAATAGTTACGTTTCATATAATCTCGGGTGTAGATTTTCCAACATAATCTTAAATTGGCTCAACGCCTGCAAGACCAACGCCACAAAACTGACTTGAACTCAACAAACAAAAATTCTAAACGCGACTTGAACATTGCTCACGTAAACTTCAACCCCGCAGCAACAGGTTGAGTATGGAGTTTGATGAAGATCGCAGCCAAGTCCCAGCTTACCTCTTCCTCTAGAGCCGCAACCTGCGAGTTCAGATGTCGTAGCTCCTCGGCAGTGGCGCGTTCCTGAATCGTTGGTGAGCGAGACAATAAGTAACGAAGCATTTAATGCTGCACATCAGGCGTAAGAATTTTTCAAGGTGCATCTTTGCAACAGTCAAGGATTTTTGAAAGAAAGCATTCAAATGAAACGAGCCAACATTCATACGAACTCAAATGAAAAGTTAGCACATAAATAGCGAGCTACTTTGATCGACCAGGAACTAGTTGTGCAATAACTTATAAGGTTAAATTACTGCTACGATAGCAAAAAAAAAGCCTTGGAATGCTGCTTCAAAAATTTTTTGGTGCTGTAGGGACTATTTTTCTGATGATGAGAACAAGCCGAACTGAAGCGGCAACAGAAAGGAGTGGAGTCATAACAAGGATATGAGAGAACAGTGCTCGTGATTAAGTCAACAATAAACATTGCATTTTTCCATAAATAATTTAAATCAAATAGTGCGCAGTGCAAATAAATTGATAAATACCCGGAACATTGATTGAACAGGTAGGTACTTGCGCTGAACAAGTTTCCAAGCTGGACAACTTAGCCATGGTTCATCGAATAGGGCGAGCAAAAGAATTGTTCAGTATTATGCGGCATGACGGGGTGGCTTTTAACGTTACCATAGTTATGGTAATGTGATGAAGGAATGATAACTCAGACTGAACAACGAATGGTGACTAGTGTGATGTGCATTGATGATGACCTAATCATACTCCCATCTATGTCCTGAATTGAGAACTGGTTCGTGACATAAAAATTCTTCATAAATTGCTTTAGTCTGGATCGATGCTAGAGTCCATATGATGTACCGCTGCCAAAGCAGCTCCTATCAACGAATATTGCTAGGAGAATGTAAATAAAAAAGATATTTCATTACGCTAGAACAACAAACTTCACTACGGTGAAAGACTAAGAGAGGGTGCAGTGCTGGAGTGCAAGTGTACACGCACCTTTGGGGCAGACAGCGTTCGAGCCGAACTCTCCTTGCCATGTAGACTTGGGGGGCCTTGAGCAAGCCACTGGTAGGCGTTTTTCCAACAGCAAGTTACTAACACATTCGGTAGACTTTAGAATATAATACCCGACTTTACGATGTCACCCAACTTTACGGCAATTGTAGGACTTGCTATCAACGTCCAAGTGATTGAGTTGTGCTAAAGGAGGACCACGCAGTTGCGGCAACAATAAGCATGCGAGGCACCTAGCAATCTAAAGCCGCTTGATGCCAATAATCTTTCTAGAAATGAAAATGCTAAACATTCGAATTCAAGGCAACATAGCATGACTCTCGGCCTCGAATCCTAGCAACCGCAATAGGCTAAAGTCATGAAAATCACAAGAATCTTCATGAGCTGGAGGGCGCCAGCGTGCGAACTGAGAATAGCAACAGAAGAGGAGGGTCATGATGTCCTCACCTGAACAGCGAGATCATCGAGCCGCTTTTGTGCCACCTCCTTCTGATGCTCGAGCTGCTTGAAGGTCGCGCTCAGAGTCTCTAACTCCGTCTGCCAATATACCACTTATTTAACAAAAGATGACTTCATAGAAATACGGAAATGTATTCATTAACCGAACAAATAGTGATCTCAACATTCGTGATGGCCTCGATACATGTCACAAGCTAAATGCAAGTAAGAATAACCTATACATAGTGGACATGAATATTCTGCAAGCCAGCGGCCAAAATTATGCGTGAACCTGCAGCAAATTCATGCAACTCACCTGCAGGTTTTTAATCTCGTTGTTTTTAAGTCTCAGAGTAGCTTCTTTCTGCTGGATTTCACACTCCAGCTTTAGTTTGTCGGCGTTTACTTGGTCAATTTCGTCGGCCACTGCCTGCAACTCAGGGTTGCTGTACTGAGGCTTGGCAGCCAACACCTGCAAAGTAATCCGGTATGTATTAAGTAAAGACTGCTATCTGCTTTATGCAGATCAATGATCTGCATCCTTTATGCAGATCAATGATCTGCATAAAGTGGGTTTATTTAAGAACATTGAGCAAAATTCTAGAAGGATTAAATGGATCTTAAGGAACCCGATATTAAGTGAAATGAGGCGTCAGGTGCAGACGTTCGGCGCATTACTACGTCATGCGCAGATGTTAAACGCAATGCTGTGTCATGTGCAGATGTAGCAACTGCAGACATGAAGCTGGGGAACACAGAAAACTAACTCTCAACTCAACTAATTTCTATCTGATTATAATTACGCACATGCACGCGACGCACACAGGCTCAGTGCAGCAACTCGCTGTCAGTCACTGATTCACAGATGCAGCCAAGAATATGACGCTGCACATCCATGTGAAGTCAACCGGTGCTTTCTACATCGCATTAGGAGAATATAGCATGACACAACTGACTCTACCCTAGCCCCGAAGAGTGATAGCAGGAAATAGCCACGAAGATATCAGTAGAAGCTGTCAGAAAACACTTTCAACAGATGAAGAGAATCCGCACCAACCTATCATAACATCAATAGAGAGGCAAGAGAAAGGGTGAGCAAAAGGCAAGGGTGCGGCTACCTCAAAAAGAACCGGCAGTGACTATACCATTTTAAAGGCAGCGACTACACCATTTCAAAGGCAGTGACTACACCATTATAAATAAAGGCAGTTACTACGCCATTTCCAAGGCAATGACTACACCATTTAAAAAACCGTGGCTACACCATTCCTAAGGCAATTACTACACCAATATGAAGGTCGTGGCTACACCATTTCAAAGGCCGAGGCTACGCCATTTCAAAGGCAGTTACTACACCATTATTGAAGGCAGTTACTACACCATTTTAAAGGCAGTTACTACACCATTTAAAGGCAGTGACTACACCATACAGAGAAGGCAATAGCAACAACACACAGAAAAAGCAGTTCTAGCCATTGACTACAATGTACAGAATGTATTAGCTGTAGCAAACAAACTAGACAATGCAGATATTAGAAGCAGTGCAGGAGCATCATGATCTCTACAGTGCAGTGTCCTGTAAAACAACAGGCTATTACCTTGGTGCTAGAGATACCGCCTAAGAGGTCCACCTTTGGCGAAGAGTAAGAAGGTGCAAGTAAGATTCTCAGAAAATCACACAGGAAATAAAGCAAATATTTGTTTTCCATTTCACAGAAGATGCATAGCAAGTAACTATGATCTGTGTGGCTCACAGCTGTAAGGAGCTTTGCACAAACCACTGCTCCTCTCATAACTTGTTTTCCATGGCCCAAATAGTAATATGACATCATAAATTATAAGATAAGATAGGAATTGATAAAAATTGGCACAGAGCAGAAGAAAAATACTGAGATCTTTGCCTTGTGAGACGGTCAGATCTGACATCATAATGCGCGCCCCTTAATAAGATCAAAACTCGTGTCGGAAGACATCAATATTTGCAGGACGTAGTCGTCAATAATCATCGTACTCTGTAGAAGGAATCAGACCCTCATTACATGGGGTCGCATTTTTAGGGTCAGACCCACATGAGAAGAGGCTCTCATTACAGGGCTAGCCCCTCATGAGAAGGGGCTGACGTAACAGGGCTAGATACTCATGAGAAGAGGATCACATAATAAGGCTAGACCCTCATGAGAAGAGGCTCACATAATAAGGCTAGACCCTAATGAGAAGAGGCTCATATAATAAGGCTAGACCCTCTGGGGAGAGGCTCACATTATATATGTATAGGGTCAGACCCCCATGAGCAGACACTCACATTAGAGGGTTGGTTTTGGTCAGGGCGCATAGAGGGCGGGATCATCTCAGAGGTGAGCTGAGGTGGAGGATCATTGCCGGCCAACTTCTGCTGGATGAGCCACATGGCGAGCGCGAACTGCTCGCTGGTGAGCTTCCCCGTCTGCTTCATGTCACAAATGTTCCTGTCAAACATATGGTATCAGTGTTGCGTCTCAAAAGTGTTCCTGCTACATCCGCAATGTCACTGTTAAATGTCACAAATGTTATAGGCAAACATATGTCGTCAGTGTTGAGTCTCATAAAAGTTCCTGGTACACTTACGCCTGTCTGTGTTACATGTCTGAAATGTGCGTTGAAAATATACAAATGACTATTACATGTCACAAATTTTCCTGAAAAACTTGTGATGTCAGTCTTATAGGTCACAAATGTTCAAAAATTCTTGACCAGCGCTACACGTCACAAATATTCCTAGAACAAGCTCATCACCGCTGGTACTTCACACATATTTCTTGGCAAAATTGCGAACCAAAATCCTCATCTTTGAAAGCTTCATGATCTTAAATGTAGGTACATCTTAGCAGCCTCACGAGATATGAGCAATTGCCATCTGAGGCAGGCCACTGTATATGAAAATCCTTTTTATTTGCTAGCCTCACCAGATATGAGCGAGCACCATCTGCGGCAGGCCACTCTGCAAGAAAATCCCCTTAATTTCATGGCCGCTCACGAAGCCGTCCTTGTCCACATCCGCATTCTGGAACATGACGTCGTAGCGAGTGCGGTCCGCGGCGCTCACCACCCATGGCGCCTTCGGCGGCCCTGTCACCAACTGGCAAACATGGCTTTTTCAATACTTGAAAAGTTAAGCTACATGAAACGAATGTTCAAACGACTAATGTTTTTAAATGTTTTTCTCATTAGAAATACGTTATTTCTTCTTTTTCAAGTAAAAAACGAATTAGGTAAACTGATGTTCATCAAGAATAATCACGAGCAGGAGATGCTTAAGACACTTTTGTCAATAAGGGGAACTAACAGTGGTCTGTTGCGGCTGCACCGGTGCAGGAGGAGCAAGAGGTGCGGGCACAGGGCCAGTTCCTCCCAGGGCTCTGCGGGCGCTCGAGATCATCTCGGGTGGAAGTCCCCCGACAGGCAGGGGATGGTTCTCCAGGCACTTGTATATCAAGTGCATTGCCTGTTATATGCAGGCAAGGATCATGGCATCAATTAGAAGAGGAGTGGCAACAAATTTAGTGACTGACAGAAAGTTTAAAGCAATGCACTGGCAATGTTCAAGCATTGTACAATGAATTAGTTGAAAGTAAGAATTGCAACACATTCAGTGACTATGTTGGAAAGGTATTGCAACATTAATATAATTCGTGTGGTTAAAACAACACGACTCACTATGGAGAACTCGGCTCTATCCAGCGATCCATCTCTGTCCATGTCAGAGAGGTCCCAGATCTTGCCGAGGACATCGGTAGGCAGCTTAGAGTTCATCATCACACCTCGTACCTGCCGCAATTCATGATAGTTATTGATCCTAGGTTAGTATAGCGATGAAAAGCAACATTATACTCAGAAGAAAAATTAAAATTGTTAAAAAACCATATATATACTATTTCCATTCAGTCAAGTGGAGGAAAAAAGCGTACATGGAACCTATACAAATATTCTCACCATTAACAATAAAAGGATGGAAACTACATTAGTACAAACAAACAAAATATAAACAGCCAAATGCAGCTACAGTCACACTACGCTAACACCAAGGCACAATGAACCCTGACGAACCCTTGACTTGCAATATCCTGATTTTTGCTCAAAGGTTAATCACTGAGCACACCTTATGGCATCCTAGCATCAGCCACAATGCCTATATATCCATTCTCTATACCAAACAGAAGTCACATATCCCGCCTTGTTGCTACCACAATATCTACCTTTTTTACACTAAACTGAAGGCATACGACCAGCTTAATTGACATTAAGCATCAGCCATTAAATCCGCAATTTCTGCACCAAAGACAAGTCCCACTTAACACCTTGTTGCTCACAATATCAAATATAACAATTTTTATTTAAAGGACACAAGGGAAATGTATATACAAGCCCATTATTGCTACCAAGCATCAGCAACAATACTCACCATTTATACACCACACAGAAAAATAAAACCCACCTTGTTGCCATGAATTTTGTTGGCACTGGGCCCTAGGGAGCTGAAAATTTGATCATAGCGAGCTCTGTCAGCGGCAGTGATGGTCCAGAGGGCGGGGTTGGGAGGAGTTACAGTGGCAGGAGGGGGAGGGTGTGAAGGTGGGTGGGGAGGAGGAGGGTGAGGAGGAGCATCCCCCTGCAACAAAATTTTCATCACACATTTGTTTAATTCATTTCAAATTTGTATACACTCGTTAAGCAATGCATTGCAGCATGAAAAACATAATGCATGAACTGAAGGAACCATCTACATCAAATTAATAAAAAGTGATTCATGACAACAGCCCAAGGTTTTTGGAAAATTTGTAAATAATTGGAAATATAACCCAGAAACATGAAGGTGCATGATGCTCATAAGGGAGATTTTTACCACATGCTTAGATAATATTTTGCAGTGTGAAATACCATAGAAGTTGGGCTATAATTTTTCTCAACATATAATTGTTTACCTTATAAACTAAGTCACGGAATCAAACAGAAGATGTTTGGAGTGCTCACCATATTGGGAGGAGGTAGAGCCATCATCAGGTTACTAAGGGACACTTCTCTTTTATTTTGTGCAAGAGCTATGAGCTTCAAAGAGACAAAGAGCCCAATCCGATCCAAGTAACCTTTGCCGTTTGGATCACTCAGGTCCCATATCTGTAGAAACAGAACAGAATATGAGGATTGTTTACATATAGATTGATTCAAAGAATCAGTCAGGCTCATTTACTCAATAGATAGAATATAAATTTTTTGCAATCACACAATTAGACACATGGTGGTTGAGTAATCTTTATTTGTGCCTTTAAATTAATAAAATTAATAAACATTTATGAAAATCAGAAAATCAATTTTTGATGACACACTGATGCTGCAATAAATAAATATACAAATTAATTTATCTATATTTTACCACAAAAATTATATACTTTGAATGATTTTCTAAAACATAATGAAGCTTCAACCAGCTTTTAATGAAGTCAACCAGGATTGACAAAGCTACACCAATTAATAATGCTCATGAATTAAAACAAGAACTTATAGCTTCTTAACTCTAATGTAATAAGTTGTTTGAAACAGGCAAATAAGATACAAGAAATAAAATACAGGCAAATAAAGAACAAGCCATTTTGTACTTGCCTTACTCAAAGAGTCATCATCAAGACCCGACTTCTTCAAAAATTGCGCAGCTGGACCGGCCTGGATGATACCAGTGCCGGCAGGGTCTAGTCTGCGGTACCATGTTTCAAAGGGGCGGATGTGTTCCCCCGCCACCTGTCAATGAAACCACAGACTTCAATCTCAAAAACTTACAAGCATTACCACTTGCATACTTAGAAGTTTAATTTCCTGATATGGTTTTCTATTTATTTGTCTTTGTTCAAGAACATAGGACAATGATTGTCAATTCATCTTTCAGGAGTAAACAAACAGAATGAGCATTTTGAAAAAAAAATTCAGCAGACACCAAACTCACATGGTGCCTAGGTGGTATTTGGTGGGATTCTGGAGTTGTATGTATGAACCAGTAAGCATGACATTAAAGATTAAAAGTTTAAAACCTATTTGTCTGCATCCTAATTCCTAACTGCAGAGTGGGACAGAAACTACCCATCAATTGGACAAAATGCACCTGAATGATGAATCTGGCTTTTCTGTAAATTTTTAAGTATATAGCTATACTAACAGTGCTAAGTGCAATTCTTCAAAACGTATGGAGAAAAAAAAACTAAAAAATCTTTCTTCTAGCCTGAGATTTAAATATTCTACCTAAGTTGACCTAAGAATATCAATTTTGCTAACAAGATATTTTACTTGGAGCAAGACATATAAAGTATGTAGACTTGTAGAGCATAGTTTGGAATATACGTATCTCTACTTTGGCATACACAAATAAAGCTTTTCCAACATTTTTGGAATGTTTGATTCCCAAAGTTCTGGTAGATGAATTATTTCAAATTTAAATATTAATAAAGTGCATGATTGAACTTTAATACTCCTATTTTGATTAAAATATATCATTTTGTAGCTGCACTGCATAGTGGCAAACCAGAGATTTTTTAGAATCAGTTCATTTCTAATTTCCTCATCTATACTCATGATTTAAACAAATATATTATGTATGATAATGCTGATATCTATGTTATTTGACTAGTCTATTAGTTATAAGACTCAAAAATAAACTTGAGGGAGAGTCTAAAAAAATTCTCTGATTTCCACTATGCAGTGCAATGATTGAGTAAGAACTAAGAAATATTCAATCCTTGTAAAACAGAGTTGCAATTGAATTGAGGTAATATTCATAGGCTACTAAATTTTAGAAGGTGGAATTTTCATTTTTCAAATTGAAATCTTCATTACCATTAGTAGTTAGTGCACTAGTATTTTAGATTTAATGAAAAACTGAAAAAATATTGTGAAGTTGTGAATATGGTTAGCCTAGCTGTAAAAACAATCCCAGTACCTATCCACATTTCAAGCAGGTCACCAAATTCAGCATTATTATTATTAGCTACAGCCTACAGGGCACAGGCTACTGGCTACAGCTAATCATGACTAGCAAGAGAATTGTAAAAATAAACAATGTTAATTCATGTTTTTTCTTCTGATCAAGACTGATTTCAAACTGGATACCGTAAAATGGGGTAACTTAGACCGGCAGGGCAACTTAGACCACTTTTTGTTTTTTTTAACAAAAACCCCCACAACTCAAAAACTATTTGACATAGAAAAATTTTGTCAATGGGCATTAAAGGCCTAATACTGAGGCTACATAACACAATATGAGGCAGGAGCCAGCAATTTATGGTGAGTGAAGCTAGAGTATAGACCTGTATTTTGCATGTTTCAATTCAAGTTTAATTTAGCTAGTGAAAAAATGGCATCATTTATAAAAAAAAGTGGTCTAAGTTACCCCATTTTACGGTATGTAAAATCTTATAGCTAGATTGAATTAGGCCTAGCCTTAGTAGCCTAGTAGGTAGGCTATAACAAAAACATCAGCCTGATATTTTGAAGTAGGCTACCTACGTGGGTCGTGGCTACCTATTGTATTGAATAGCTATTCATATTTATTTTTTTCTACAATCAAACTCTACAAATTTTGGTTTTACTTAGCAAAAATAGGTTTTACATAGAGATGGAAGTTTTTATCTTGCCACCACAAGTCATTGACAGTTCCTTGAAATTCTGACAGTTCCTAGATTAGGTAGGTTAGCCTACGGTAAATCTCGAGTTTCAGTCGAAAATTTGATGTTCACATAGTTTATTAACTGCAATTTGCAAATAAGATCGTTTAGTTAACAAAAATAAGCTATAATCTCCGTTAGGAAGATTGAAGATAAGTCAAAAGTTAAATAGGAGTCATTAAGAGTTATAGAATTGATAATCTATACGTTCAAGCATCAAGCATAAATGGGTTGTTATATTTCTTATCGTAACCCTTTGCCCTTACAAGTTCCTATCGACCGATGAGGCCTGTCTTTTAGGTCGATCGATATTTAATGCAAAAAATTACTATACTATACTCCAGGCATTAATTTCAGCCGATATGTTTTTGACACATTTTCAAAAAATAAAAATAAAGCTTCATATCCAAAATATTTTTAAATTTGACATTAAAATTCACCTGGGAGGGAGATGGAAGAGAGGCCATCTTGCCACAACATGTGCAGCAGGGCTACCACCGGCAAGTGACAATGTTTTGAAAATCACAACAAACATTATCATTATCCAAATAAGTAAACTTCGTCGAAATTTTACGATTATAGTGTTTAGATAGCCGTTTGCATGAGTGAGTTGAATTCATGAAGTTTCGTTCAACGTTTCTAAGATTCCAAGAAAACGTTCTAATTTTTTTCTGAAAAAGAACGAAGCATTTTTTTATTTACACTAACTAAATAATTGACAAATAGATTATTAAAAAGTCTTATTTCAAGCGAACAAATAAGGTTAATCAATTTTTTTCTTATCGATCCAATAACAATTTCTGACCTATATTTTCAAACTTGAAGTGTCCATTACGCACGCAACTGGTTAATTTAAGTCTAGTAGATATTTAATTCATCGTCAGTTTTTGAAAGGATTGGTTTAATGGCCAATTTATAGATCTTCAATGAAAAAATCACAAAAATTGCAAATTTGTGACAGTTCAATCGTGGCTTTTTCTTCAGCGCCGACACTATTGTGCTACATAACATATTTCTGTAACTAACCACTTACCACGCCGCACAACGGAGAAACGTATCAAAAATCAGTTATTAGTGACACTGATGCAACTATTTTTCCACGTGTCATATGTATCAAAAATCAGTTATTAGTGACACTGATGCAACTATTTTTCCACGTGTCATATCAATGGAACTTGGTTACTTGTTCAAGTTGTATTGTTTGAGACGACTTTGTTTTAAACATAATCTAAACTCACTTGGAACGTGAATCCACATTCCATATAGCTCCCCGTTTAGCATTCAAAGTCTATGTCAAAATATTCTTTTGCCAGCTGTTTTTCATGGCGGTATAGTTCGAAATAAATCAAACGTGCACCATCAAATAACAGAGGTTAGACGGTTTAAATCTTGATTCTGTCACCTGCTGCACACCCGTTTTGGCAACTCCAAATGAATAATGGCGTCTCAAACAAATTACTGCACTCAGCAACCAACAATAAATTACGATAGTTGGTCTAATTTTGATAATTGTAAACCATTGACAAGTAGAGCTATTGCATATACATATATATGACGGCGGAGTTTTAATAAGACAGACTGCACCCTCAAGCTCTTGGGCCTGGGCAGCCATCCTAGTGAGGTCAAGGTTGAAGGCTTTATTTGATCATTTAATAGGGCAGAAAAGATACAAGCAGATCTCTTTACGTTATATTTAAAGCATCAAATGAAAATGTCATGCATAAAATCACAGTAATAGAAAAATGTCAATTATTAAGATAATAATGCGCTGATATACATATGACAGGTTCAGAAAGAGCGACTGTGACAGAACTCGAAAAATTGGTTCTTTCCTCCAAGCGTGATGCCGCTAAGACTTATTCTATAACTTTTTTGATGGAGTATCGTTCTTCGACACGAATTGCAAGAGCCACGCTAAAGTCTTTACTCTGTGAACATATTTTTTCTTAAAACAATCGTCTTCTAATTTAACGTCACTTGCGGACTGTGTTGATACTTCGGTTTGCCGCACGGCAATCTTCGGCCTGCAAGGCTACTTGAATGATACATTTATCTTAAGATCGTAGAAAATACGTTAAATGCAATTTTACAGTTAAATTAGGATACATAAAGAAAACATCTCAGAGCGTTCAGAGATAGTTGCAATTTCGAGCTATCTAAGTTCTAAGTCTACTAGAAATAATTGCTAAGAAATAAAATTTGCTTAGTGAAAACAGTTACAAATTTAGTCACAGACGGATAAAACGGAAATACATTAGAGGAACGTCGAAGACTAGAAGAGCAACACGTCGTAGAAAAATAAACCATATCATAACAAAGTAAATAGTAATTCAATTCGTTAAAGCATTATTTGGCAGGAGAAATACTGATGACCGAGTCTCATGGATTGCCTGGACACAACTCGGGCCAGCTAGGACTTCGATTGATCATCTGTCATGTCGAACGCCACTGCACATCTAACGTCATCACATTTTTAACTCCATCGTATGCCCAGCACCACCGCACGTATGACATTATTGCACGTCTAACACCGTCACACGTCTAACGCTACCGTCAGACTGCAAGTTGTGCAGTGACGTGACTACACACGCTGCTACCATGCGCTGCTTATTGCTGATGCATCAACGAATTACATCAAAATATTTCGGTGGCGCCAGGCAGGGCGAATTTCAAATAATAAAAACAAAGATGAATTAAATGAAGGTGAGCGCCGACTACAGACTCTGGACGAAAATTCAGTCAAGGCAGGCAGGGCAATAAATTGAATGGGGGCAAGAGCAGCATTGCATTGCAATTCTGTTGTGTTGGAGCCTCGCCCCGTTCGAGATGCACAAGGTGAGGCTCACCGATACTGTAAAGAGAGAACATGAAAGGAGAACGCTAAAGGGAGACCGTGAATGGGAGATTCGCGAAAAGGATATTGTGAAGGAGATAATGTAAAAGGAAGTATTTGGGAGTAGAACTCCGGGCAAAACGTGGGAGATTCTAAATTAAATGATGACCGCTTGATTGTCACTTCATCATTTACTTAGATACATAATATTATTCAATAAGAAGCGTATGATGATTAGGAGAGCGTGATTCATACAAAACATTCACGCGGTGGCAAAGACTAACCCACATATGCACGATGCTCGATGTTGTTCACAGCGCCAGGCAGGTGTTATGTACAGAAATCAAGGGTGTACAGAAGACGGCTAAAGGAGAAAATCGCATCGAACGCTTTAAAGTTTATACAACCAAAGACACTCGACTAAACCAATTTGCAAATGAGCAAGAAGATTATAAAAACTGATAGACTAAGCCATATTTTTCTGATACCGGCGATTATTCAGTCAGAATTAAAACGATTTTTCGGTGTTGTCCGCCATCAAACCGTAATACTGAAGAATTGGGCTGAAATAGAGACGCAAATATAACTTGAATAACAGTAGAGGAAGCCACAGCCGCAACTTGACACAAATCCAAGAACGGTTTTCGTACATCATCAGTTTTAATATATAAACTGAATGGTCTTCAATGTTCACGAAATTCAATACACCACAGTAGATACATCTGGCTGTTTAAATATCCAACTTAAATACGAACGGATCAGCACGCGGAGGAACCGTAGAGCTGTAGATAATAGGAACCGTAGAATTGTAAATAAAAACACTTAATACTGAATAGCAGCCCTCAGGACGCGTCAAAGGAAAAGTCGTAAAAAGCCGGAGTGGTACCGGGCTCAGGCGCTTTAGAAAATAGCATCTCTCAATAATTAGATGAAAAGAACTGTCGCTGTTAGCGCTATAGTGAAGTAATATGACTGCATATGACACAGCAATGCATCAAACGTCTCTTCTTGATACCTCATGACGCCTTCTGTTACATCACGTCAGCGGACGTTGAGACGTCAGAGTGACGTTACAAACATGACGCGGTTACCACGCTGACGTAGAACATCGTTATTTGCATCATCAATAATTATGATAAGGTATCTCATGCGCATCACACTCACGCGTCGTGTTCATCACACTCATATGTCGTACATGCAAATTAAACTGAAAATTCATATTTACAGTCAGGTTTCATAGCGCCTTTCAACGAGTATGCGGTTATAGGTTAACCTGGAGCACAACTCGGGTCAAGTTTCGCTACAACTCCTCAAGATACTTACGTAGTGAAATTTGTATCACTCCTGAAATTGATATAAGAAACCTTAATGTTAAATTTATGGACATATGCATATATAAAAGTGTGTTGAGGTGAGGGTGGCTTGCTCCTGTCCCTGCAAGACTCGGTCGCAGTTCAAATGAAAATGCCAACTGCGGGAGCGCACTTAATAAAATCACAGATTAGTATTATAATGCTAAATTAAATGCTAAAAAAAGTAAATAGTACGAAGTAAAGAACACCTGCTTATACGTGATAGAGCAGTGGTTTCGAATTTAACTATCCATGTACAAATTATGATCATTTCAGATAACGGCTAACCGTAGTAATAACAAAACCATTTCACAATATGTTGAGAAGCTGCATAAAAACTAATAGCAACGGTAATATAATTGCACAATATTGCTGAACGTAGGCAGACGATTAAGTCTACGAGAGCGAGAGCTTAAAGAAAACAATGTGGTTCGGTAAAAAGATCATTCTCGCGAATAATCAATGAATATGTAAATTATGAGACCGGAAGTCAGCGGCGAGAGCGAAATGTTACCGACGCGACCATCGAAACCTATTGAGGCTTTTGCGGTCTGTCATTGCAGACGGAGGGAAGATAATATAAGACCAACATGGATCCCTCGATCAGGCAAACCTCACACTTCACAGTTTTAATGAATTATCTATTGCAGCGCAGCAGCCTAATATTAAATTTTTCATAGCTACAGTACTTATGCATACAACTAACTTCGGCGACACTAAAGGGTGGCAGGTGGCAAGGTAGACCACCTGGACACCGGCCTTACACGAAGGCACTTGGTGGTGCCGGGCTGACACAAACTCGGCTCCTGCGAAAGCTATTTCGGTTCAAATTTTGAAATGAGGTTTTTGACTCGCGGAATTCTCTTGGTTTTGCCCAAGTTCTTCTTGTTGAGCTCAGCTCGAGTGCGAAGTTGGAGCTCGTCGTGCTCCCTTTCCAGATGCTCGATGAGCTGCGTCAGCTCGCAGTACTCTGAGCTCGTAACCTCGCTAGACTCGCTGCAGCTGAGGTGGGTAGCTGGTTTATCGTCAACCCCGTGCTGCCGCGAACAGCCACTTGGTTTGCCAAGAGTTTCGTGTGTATCAACGTTGACGTCGTCAGGTCTTGCATTCGACATTTCAGCGTAGAGGTTCTTTTTCAAAGACTTCGAGGGCATAGACTGCTCAATGCTTCTTTTACTAGGTAAAAAACAGCTTGATTCTGCAGCTGAATGGGTTGATGGAGCAGATGATTTCATACGCAACCTGTTGCGGCTGTGCGCTGCCGACTCGAGTGAGCTTCCCTCAAACGCTGCTCCAGCAGCGGACGTGTCACCGATAATTTGTCCACTGGGTAACGTCTCGGTGGTATTTTCTGCATGGCTTGCTATCGCCTTAGAGGGACACAAGTTTGTTGATAATTTTTTAGGATATTTGGAGGATTTTTTGACCCTGCTTGTCTTGTCAGAACAAAGATCACTCGCAGAGAACCGGTCATGTGGATTAGCACGAAGGACCGTTGGCCGCGTCCTTCGCTGAGATCCGGGGGAACAGATGCCATGTCCATGAGCCGCAGGACCAACTTCCATAGATGGATTTCCTCCGGCTGATTTTGGTTTTTGGATGTCGCAGGACTTCTTTGAACCATCGTTTTTCAAAGTAGAAAAATTAAAGTTATCGCCTTTCAAGTCGCTCGAAATCAATCTCGGAGGAAAGCTATAATGAACATCCTTGGATTTAAAAGAATAATTCTTAATGCCCTTTTGGATGCGTTCTTGATCGTGATTGTTGGCCGCTGGACATGTCCCGGCTTTATCAGGGCCAGCACTTATCGCCATTCTCGGACTTTCTTTTCGTGATTGAGAAATGTTTATTTTCTTATCTAAATTGGACGGGGTTATATACAATTTATTGCGATGGCATTTCTTCAACCTGTGATCGGATAGATCGGTGACATCTTTTTCGGAATCTATGCTGGACGATTGAATAGAGCTTGTGCAACTTGAGCTGCTCTTTACAACATCAGAGTCACAACTTATGTTTGCGGTAGAACTGTTTTCCACTTTGTTATCATTCTTCATTGCACCACTGGACTTGAGTGTTCTTTTCCTAGCTGCAAAAACATTGTCACATTTCCGATCGGACGTTGGGGCAGCACTACGACATTTCTCCAAGTTTTCAAACATTGCCTTGCGACTAGAAAACTCCTTCCGTTTCTTATACTTTAAGAGAGAATTAGTGTTCCCGGGAACGTTCATATCAGCCTGCATGCACCTGAAGGTGCTGCTCTGGGCACCATCATTCGCCGAAGCGATAGGAATGCTTGTACGCAGCTTAACAGTTTTGGGTTTCCCTCTCAATTTACTGAGGTCAGTATCAACATTACAGCCGTTTACTTCACTGAATAAACTCACGATATTAGAAACTTTACTCACTTTCGAATTGGCGCACGTGATAGCCTCGCTGAAGCTTTGTGTGCGAAGATTGCCTGAAGCCTCACTAATGGAAGAGTCGGCGTCTGAAACAACCTGTCCTGAAGCTGTTGAACATTCCGAAGTTTCAGCAGAGTCAGCAAACATCAGTTCATTCCTAATACTTGCAATCTTTGAGCTATGACTAATAGAAGAAAGGGACTCGCTCAAGTCCAAGTCGTCACAAATCTCGACATTGCAACCATCCAAAGATGCAGGTCTATCGGAGGAATTTTCTTCTGAATTTACCGAGTCGTTAAATAGTGTGGAACTCACACTTTCACCGCCGACACAGTTGTGGCCGCTCACTTCACTGGGAGGTTTATTAATGTCAACTCCTGCGCCATCACAAACCATGCTTATAACGTTAGTATTTTGAAGAGTGCTAAATATTTGTGAACCAGGATCGTTATTAATTGGTACTTCTGAAGATAAGATTTGTTTGGATTTCAAGTCATCATGGATGAACTTTACATCACCAGGCGACGCTGCCGAACAAAAGGAACCATAGGATGCGTCGTCATCGGAATCCTGAACGGACCTCGCGCGTTCGAGTGACGATGTGAAGCTACCGTCAAGCGAGCATCGGTCATGTATCGTGGGATTTTGAGGTGCCTTGTCGTGGTTTCTGACAGTAATATTAGCTGATGTGCTCTGTCCTGAATAGCAAAGGTTGGGTACTTCGGAAGGTGATAAGGCCTCTACGTATGCCTCGCTACAGCTCTGATCAGACCCATCTTCGTTAGAGTCAAAGCTGCCCGGTTTGATCTTAGAAGTCAATTTGACAAGATGACGCATAAGTGAGTGATTATTAGCGTTATTAACATCACTCTTCACTCGTGTTGGTTCCATTCTTTTATTTCCGTTGGATTCTGACTGAATGCAATACTGCTCGTTGTCAACTGGTACATTATCTGGTATTAGGGGCTTTACATTCTGTAGAGCAGGTTTCGAGTCAGTCTGTTCCTCAACGACGCTTGAAGATACGTCAATTCCTAGATTTGGACGAATTGAAGTAGGTACGACACAAGTTTCTGCAGAGGGAGATACTAGCTGAATGCTCTCCATACTGACATCATTCGACATCGTTGTCCTGCTGGGACACAAACTAGAACTGCCATCTGTCTCTTCTAAATACGCACTCATATCCGAATTGTTTGTGTTGATTGAATCGATGGAAGGAGGTCTTACGACAGGGACAGACTCACCCTCAAGAGTAACAAATTTAGTGGTATTGTTAGCAGAAGTAGATGACGTTGTCGACATACATGTGATAGGGGTTTCGTTTCGGGTTGATGCAACAGTACTCATTTCGTCAGGTAAAGAATTTTTACTGCCATGCATATCATGAGTGAATGAGTTGCCGTGGGCTTCAAAAGTCAATGGAGAAGTAAGGTTGAAATCGCTCTCTTCGTTGTACAACTTGGGGGAAATTAGAGATGAAACTTTGACACTAGAAGGATCTAATTTTGGCTTGGGGGCTTCGATTTTGATTTTTGATGTAGAACGAACGTCTTTCAAAGTTATTCTTTTAGGTGGTAGTGCGAGGGAGGCTATTGCTCCTCTAGAAGACATGATACTCGTAGAGCCGACGAGCTTCGTGGGCGCCACGGAGCTGAGGATGACATTAGTACTGGACTGCGTGGTAGACGAAGACGAGTAAGGCGCACCGGCAACATCGGTAAAAGAACTAGGAACATGTGAGCTGGAGCGAGTTTTATCAGCTACTGTTTCAGAGTCGAACATCCTACCTGGAGTTCTAGAACTGCACAGAGAGCTTCCACTTATAAAGTTCTGGGACACTTTTTGGGTTAACCGCTCTTTGATTTGTGATATTCTTGAAGCATTTGACTCGGTATCAGAAAACTTCTCGGCATCAGTCAGCTTGGTGATGGTTGGTGGTGGGCTTGTTAAAGGAAGGCTCGGTATGGATGAGCTTTCATTGTTTTCGATTCCTAAGTGTCGGGACCGACGATCTGCCAGATAATTCTCTTCCATTCCATCTGCATTAGAAAGTATTCTATTGCCTGCAGCCTTTGTTTCTCTGCGAGGAGTTTCTACGGCACAAGTTGTAGGAGTGTAGGTTATGATAGCCTTGCTTTTAACGCATACTTGAGCCTCGAGGTCAACTAGCTTACAAACTTGAACTAATGGAGCTTCTTCGGGATCACCGCAGACGTTCGCCTGGTCACCCCATAGAACGTTTCGACTGAAGCATGATGAGGAGTCGTACGAGTTGTACTCTGACATGTTTGTGATGGGGTAAACGCTTGGACTAGCACTGAAACTAACATGACGGTTAGACTTTAAAGATTTCGAAGGACTTGATTCAGATGACGTCAAGCTTTTCAACGAGTCGTTTCCCTCGCTGAGTTCACCAGTGGGCAGGGTGAGTGCATCCTCATCTAATGTAGTCTTCTTGAGGACACCGTGCAGAGGTCGGTCGCTCTTTGCCTTCAGAGCTGGGGGGCATAAGCCAACGCTGGGCTGCCTGGCAGGAGCGTCCGTGATGACGGACGGCGTCGTCTGAGAGATCATTGACTCCGCGTGCTGTTGGTCGTGAGGCGGAGGCTGCTCCCCCCGAGGGGCGCGTCTGCCGGGCGTGAAGGAGAATAAGCTAGTCCAAGGGGCCCTGTCTCAGGTGCGCGACGCGGGGCTGTCGCACCCGTCGATGTTTGCAGGAACTCTGAAGCACAATCGCGCTCCTAGCGAGCACGAGTTGCTGGGCGACGCCATGTGCACCAAGGGGGCCAGCTGAAAGAAATTTAATAATAAATGTCGACAATTTGTATTGTTCGGCTATTTCAGCGAGCATTACAAGTGAAAAACTTGGAAACAGACGAAATTGCCAACAAGTTAAGTTCATGTTCATTGCGCAAGTTTTTATTCATTGAGATTACAATCGGGTAAATGATCAACGGGCAATTTAACATTGTGTTTCAGATGGTGTAATCCGGGGTGTTTGACAAACAAAATTCAACAGAAATTTTTCCAACGCACCAAAACGCACAATTTCCCTTCTTTAAAGAAAGCTAACTGTGATAAATAGTCAATATTCCAAACGTTAGTCATTGGCAGCACATGAGAAAGAATTATCACACATCACAAGCTCACCGTGTCGTCATAACGCGGCTGCTGATCAAGTTCATTAGCGCCGCCTCGACTGACTTCCTCTTCGGTGGAACTGAAGCTCAGCGACGCCGAATTGACGCAGAACCTGCGCACACAACTCAGAGTAAACACAGAGTAATGAGTGCAGAGGCGCGTCATCAGTGTCATATCAGCGCGTCATTAGAGTCATATCAGAGCGTCATCAGTGTCATATCAGCGCGTCATTAGAGTCATATCAGCGCGTCATCAGTGTCATATCAGCGCGTCATTAGAGTCATATCAGCGCGTCATCAGTGCCNTAATAATAATAATAATAATAATAATAATAATAATAATAATAATAATAATAATAATAATAATAATAATAATAATAATAATAATAATAATAATAATAATAATAATAATAATAATAATAATAATAATAATAATAATAATAATAATAATAATAATAATAATAATAATAATAATAATAATAATAATAATAATAATAATAATAATAATAATAATAATAATAATAATAATAATAATAATAATAATAATAATAATAATAATAATAATAATAATAATAATAATAATAATAATAATAATAATAATAATAATAATAATAATGATAATAATACCGGTTTCAGCGTTTATTAGGCTGCAGGCCTTTATCCGATTCTTAACATAGCATAACATTCACAGCTTGTTGCGGTCTCACACGCAACTCATTAATCCAATTTTGCTGTGCTTAATCGCCCGGCCTCCTCGCCGATTCTGACCAGAAACTGGCGCACAGAGCTGATATAGAACCCGCACCTCTCGGCTTCAATCTAACCACAATGCCAACCTGGCTACTTTTGTTTGACTAATTTCATCCCAGAAAATTAGTTTGTCATTGTAAGTGTAAAATGAAAATAAACATTGTGTATCCTCATCAATCGCCGTGAATTGGCATTAGCGAATTGTTGATCAAGTATTGTACTTGATTATTTAGTATTGAGAAAAGAGTGTCGACCCTTTTCAGGCGGACGCACCACGCCACTCGCATCACCCACTCAAAATTCAACCGTTCAAATTTTCGTACAATTTATCCCCCAATTAGGAATCATTCGTGGAGTCGTTCAATACAAAAATAACTTCACCATGCCTAAGTCAGCGTCCAGATCGGTGCTATGCTTACTGTTGATACAAATTTTATCAAATATTGTACCCGCTACACTTTCTCGTTGTTGTTTACTAAAGTGGAAGCTGGTAGCGACACAAAGGCAGCGGGAGGCTAACAAATACTTTAGTTTACATAGGCTAGAGTGCGCAATGGTTCTCAGTTATGCGTGGGTGATGATAGCGGCCTTGGGGTTACCGCTTGACCGCAGGCCATTCATCGGCCTTTGTGGGACAAGTCATGTGAGACACCGGCACACCAAGGGACAAGTCATGTGAGACACCGGCACACCAAGGGACGGGTCACGTGAGACACCGGCACACCAAGGGACAAGTCATGTGAGACACCGGCACACCAAGGGACGGGTCATGTGAGACACCGGCACACCAAGGGACGGGTCATGTGAGACACCGGCACACCAAGGGACGGGTCATGTGAGACACCGTCGCACCAAAGGCCGGGTCTAATGAGACACTAGCATAAGACCACCACTCACCATGGGACAAGTCCTGCTTGAGCGTCACTCTGTCCCAACTGATGATGTCGTAGAAGGCCGGCCAGCCCGAGCCGGAGTCGTACTTGGTCTGAGATTGGAAGAGTTCTTGGCCACAGACCACGCAAGCGTATACACCGCGCTCCCAGTGCTTGTAGTACGCATTAGAATACGGTCTGCACATGCGGTGTACGCATTAGAATACGGTCTGCACATACGGTGTACGCATTAGAATACGGTCTGCATGTACGGCGTACGCATTAGAATACGGTCTGCACACACGGGGTAAGCATTAGAATACGGTCTGCACAAACAACGTACGCCTGAATACGGTCTGCACATACAGCGTACGCATTAGAATACGGTCTGCACATACAGCGTACGCATTAGAATACGGTCCTGTCTCTTATACACATCTAGATGTGTATAAGAGACAGAGGCTATTCCATCCAACTACTGGCCAGCAGTGGTTGAGTTTACTGCTCAGCGTTAGGCTATTCCATCCAACTACTGGCCAGAGGATCTAAAACAGAACGGCAGTGGAGCGACTCACGCACGTGACGTCACTGAAGCTTCAGCTGAAGGTTCTTACCGATCGATACGCAAGAGCAAAGAATAGAGAGGATCCTAAGAACTTAGGGGAGGCCATATATAAACATTATCGAGGTCAGCATACGAGAAATGACAATAACGCATAGTGAAGGAGCGTATCTTGAACAGAACACTGATGTTACGAAAACGAGCTGCGGACAACTTGAATGCGTTCAGTTGGACTATCACTGAAGTCTGAAGTAAGCCACAAGATTGACTGATAAGGATAAGTTTTACCCCAGGTTTGTGTAAAGATTACCAAACTAAGCAAATTTTCGTGTTGTTCTACGATATTTGCTTTGCATTTAGAATATTTTCGCAGAGCAAACCAAGCCACAATGTCAGATTGCCGAATGGAACAAGGCGGATCAAGAAAACAAGAAGTCAAGAACCACTGTCAATGAGACTTTAATGTTGAGTCACTTTTGCACTGAATTTGCCGCCCATCAATAAAAACGGTAGTATTCTTGCCACAAATTCCTCTTGAGGCTTGCGTAACGAAAAAAAAAAATATCGCAGCCTGTCGAACTTGCGCCTGCAGGGTTTATTCAATTTTGTTCAGCATGAATCGGTTCAATTAAAGGCCAACAGCTAGCGATAACTCTGGTATCATTGATAATTAGTACTGAAGTGCATAAAGCTCATCACTTCCAGTCTAATCAACTTAGCAATAATAATACTTAGCAAACTTTAATATTATGGGTTTTTCCATTTCATAAAGCGTCCGCAAAACAACGTGTCACCCAGCCACGAACCACGGACTTTCGCTCAATAAGTGAATCATGCCACATTAATTACTGCCACTACCGACTGATTACCGAGTAACTTACAATTTTAGAATAAATCGTAATTGTATCACTATTCACTAAAGCGTCCGATTTTTACCTCAAATAGCAGATGAACGGGCATGCTCAGCGCCCAGCTACAGTTATTGCGCTAGCGGCACATCCAAAACATCAGCTAGCTAATTCATTTCCTGATGAGCTGAACGACCTGCCCGCGGCAATGACTCGTTCCAGGATGAGCTACAAAAACCTGCTTCATTTTTTTGCACAAAATAAATTCGATTGAATTCATTATAGGCAGCTTTTACAGCTCCTAATAGAGATTTAAATTATCACTTCTCGAACTCAGTAGGTATACTTGACGGAAGATTTCAACAGTACTGTTGCGAATGGCGTAAAAAATGAATGTTTAATTAGTGTCAGATTTAATTATTTACAGCAATAGTGGAAGAAATAACGCTCGGATGGCGAAAGAATATAGGAATAAAAAATGACGTCACGCATTTATAAGCAGAAGAATTTCAACTAACCTTAAAGAAGGAACACGCTTACGTTCCAGATTATGAGCTACAACGATAATTCCGTTGAAACTGCACAGTTTTTAAAGCTACGGGAGCAGGAAGTATGAGATGTCTCTGAAACGCATGAAATCTTGGCAGTATCTACGGCCAGTGAAAATACCGAGTGAGCTTCAGCTAACTTGCCCTGCACGATTGCGAACGGGAACTTAGTTGTGGGTCAAAATTGAATGCCACAATGTTTAATTTACGTACTTCTAAAGTAAAGGCCAAGCACAGGAAGCGTAAACTAATATTCAAATTCACCTAGGGTATGAACATTTTTGCGGAACAACACTTATTCACAACTTGGTCAGAGCCTTGAAACGAAGTTGTACCAAGACTTGTATCACAACCAACCTCACTCTGCAACAGCGCCTGCGCAACTGTTTGACTCGTCGAGTGACTCGAGTCGACACTCGACGAGCTATCACAAGCCTACATCAAAAACATTGCTCACAGCCTGGGATTAGCAAACACAGTACACTAAACTATTCACCCTGAATTCATTTCGGTTTTAATTATTTCTGCGCACGAACCGTTAATAAACTGCGTCATAGTCTCCGCAAGTCTCGACTTGAAATTCAATTGCTATTTTCTTTACCTGAACACGTTTTTTCGGTAAAAGCACGTACCAGAATTTGGTTTTCGCGCAAATTAAACATTTATCATTTAAACACATTAATGTATCCTCGATAAGTGCGCCATTTATAGCATAGACACTTCATACACATATTAATGCTGTCATCGGTAATCTTACCAAAAAATATAACTCAGTACTCACGGCAGTGAGTGACAGAGAGCGCATTTTCTCGTCGACGAAAACTTGAGGTCACGGACGGACAGACAGACATGGCTAACACAATAATGCATTTTTTCCATAAATGAGAAAATGCTCTAAAAAGATGCCGAAACCGCACTAAAGTCCTAACCAATTAGCTTGAAATTTGACAATTAACTTGACACACACGGATCTAGATAGATGCGCATCCAAACGTAACAGTAAAGATCGCACTTTTACGAGTAAGCATTAGGGAACCTCAACTTTTCGGAAGAGAATTCACTTTTTACAACACAGCTGCGTTTCTTAACATTCCTTGAAGTTTACATGCAAAATCTCGACTTCACGCGAATCCCTGCCACAATGTCACGTTCAACACATTTCCAAACCATTCTCACTTGTGTGTCATATCTTGGCAGTCCTCGCATATCTCCACCAACTCACCTGAGGCTCCTCAGACCTCGAGATTATCATTCAGTTCCGAAAAATCCCCTTGTAAATACACCCGTTACCAGAATAGGAATAAAAATCTCCAAGTCTTGCATGCTGGAGGTCGATTGCTAAAGCATGTGAATGGTTCATTACTATTTCGAGTATATGCACCCTCAAACTTGAAATACAGAATCGGATACAGTAGTATCGGTATAAGAGATCAATTATCGGTACCTTCACCATCCAAACCGCTAAGAGATAATCAATTATAAGTTCCGAGCCTCTTTTTCCCAGTGGGACAAGCAGAAAGGGACCGCCCATACTGCAGGGGGTGTGGATTTGTATACTCAACGCATAAAACTAACAATAACTGGAGGATAGTAAAACGCAATAGTTCACAACTTCAATCATAATAGTGGCGATAACAATCATTTTTAGGTGTCCATGGGCTCCTGGTCAGACTGCGATTCGGTGGCATCTTGGAAGTCATCGCTGGTGTCGCCGGCTTCTGCCTCCTCATCTGCATCGTCATCGTCAGTGTCTTCAGCCATGCTGTCGTTAGTCTCTGGAAGTTCGCAAAAAAAAAAAAAACTTTTCCTAACCAACCTAACCTCAATCGACTCTGAAAAACGCAAAAAAGCAAAAAAAAAAAAAAAAATAAGGAGTGGTTTGATCCACAGCCGTTTCTTTTATTGTAATGCACCACAAACTCGAGTGAGCGGAATTTCTTGAATGCATAAAGTTCAGTTCTAAGATCTAAAAGAATCAACTTGATGATTACTAAGCCGGAATGTTCTGCGACGAGAGTAAATAGCAACTTATGACACAAGAAAGGATAAACTTCGATTTAATAGCTTCCCAAAACATAAATAGATAAAAACAATACGAGGTTTGATTTTCAAGCATAGGATTAGCAAAAAAAAACGAATGATAGTAAAACAGGGGGAACAAATCACGTACAACATTCAATAAACAACTTGGTACTAGTGATCACCAGAACCAGAAAGAAGTATGAATAGCTACATCAAATCGATTCACTAATAAAACTTCAATCAATAACTAGGCATAAAATTTTTACGTCACTGTAGTAACGTTATAGATTTCTCGGTCAAGTTGTATAGAGTGGGCCTCACAGATTCATAGTCACAGATGCAAAATGCCTCCCGACCGACAGGAACTGAAACCTTTAAACTTCTTGGTACTTTGTTATGTGCAGATGAATATATTATGGCCACCTCTGGCGAGAAAAAAGTGCTATTACTTTACTATTTATTTGTTTATAAGAACTACAAGGAATTTAAACGCAACCAGTGAACTGAGATTAAAATAATCAGATACGTTGGTAGAAGAAAACTGACCGATCGATTGGCCCTCATCTAAGCCCACAAATACGTTGGTAGAAGGAACTAACCGAGAGTTTGGTCCTCATTTAAGCCCCACAAAATCTGCACAGGAGCGCTGCTGTCCAACTTGACAGAGACTGATGGTTTTCCTTCACTCAACAACTCCATGAAGGCTGCTTCCTTATCGGCGACGTCCGCAGCCAAGGCGTTGGGCACGATACGTGACTGCACCTCGGGGTCAGCGCGCTTAGGAGGCTCAGTGTAGTGCCGCAACGCGCCACTGCCGTGAGAGGCATGAGTTAACACGGTTAAACACGAGTGAAATCAACAATCAGTTACAAGCTACAACACGAATCGTGCAATATTGTGATCAAGTGTAAACAGTCGGCTTGTGGCTTATAACTTGAACGTTCGCAGATACATGTAAATAACATGCATTTAAAAATTACTCTTTTAAAGACAACACTTCTAAAGAATCCAGTGTCTCCGATGTTACACCTGTACAATGAATTTCTAATCTTATTATTTTAATTTTGTTTTTAAATTTTATTTTTAAAATTTAATTTTTTTATTTTTCAAAATGATTTATTCTGTCAATTGATTCATGCATTGTCTCCGACTTTACGCAAGTGTATAAAATTTCAGATCGATTGAAGAGGTAGAAGTGTGTTAAATATTGATTATAAGATTTGTAGCAGACACAAACAAACAAGAAGTGAAGTTAAAGAAAAGTGGTGGAAAATGTTTTGGAAGTGGAGAGAAAATTTTGAGCACCAAATTAATTCTTCAATGAACAGAAAATTTATTGCACGGAATGCAAGAATGAAAAACTTAAGGCTTCAAGAACTCACTGATTCCAGTCATGAAGTAATTTCTGTGCAGCTGCTTCGATACTTGAAACTCCATCCTTGTTGAATTTGCCAGCCTTCTTTGAAATTAACGACAGGAACATTTCACCATCATCTACCTTCCGTACCCCATAGAACAGTGACAACTGAAAAAATAAAGCAATTAAATTAATAACGATGCGATAATTGAAAGTAAAATCTAAGATTAATTTAACATAAGATAGTAAAAGAACTGTATTCCGTTGGGCGTACATTACCTCAAAGTATTATATAAATTTAAAAAGTAGTCAAGCAAGCTAAAGGTAATAAAAAGCTGAACCACCACACGCTATGGATGACACCCACGGAAATTGAATGCAGTGAAATTATACTTCATTAAAAGCGAATATTTTAAACTAGACTTAATACCTGATAGGAAATTGTATTACTAGTAGTTTAAAAGCAAGTAACAGGCTTGCATGTGCTAACCAAAATCCCTAAACATGTTTCACCGATGGATTAATTTCCAATTATGTCAAAAAACATAGTTTGGCAATTCGTAGTCTAGAGTACATCAAAATCACACACACTAGATAGATATACAAACCGCCATAGGGTCCGAACGCTTGAATATCTCCAATGCAGGTGAAAGCAGATCCTTGACGTGATTCAAATTGACGACGTTCTTTAAGGTTGCCTCGACGGCGGACATTTCCCTACTAGGGATTGCTACACCAGGACTATCGATCAGATGCATCTTAGCGTCCAGTTTCACCAGACGCATGGATCTGAAACAAACATATCAGAGTGAGAAATATTAATTACTCACTTATAATGCAAACATTACTTCGAGTCTGACAAAAAAAATAGTATTAGTAAAAATGAAAAGCTCCTGTTAGTAGATATCAATGGAACCATTCAATCAGTTTCTCTTACATTTTGAACATGGAATAGTAAATACTAAGTAAACATACGTGTGATGTTATGTCAAACTTTCATCACTGTATACCTGGTGCTGCCGGCAGTGGCTGAGACTTGGCAGGTCTTGAGCTTTTTAAGGCTGTTGATAATGCTGCTCTTCCCGACGTTGGGGAGCCCAACGACGCCTACAACGGCACCTGCGTCACTAAACGACCTAGCGTAGTTCTTGAGAAGCTGCAGTAGAACGTCACAGCCCATACTCTTGCCTGTGCGTAAAGTTTCTTGGCCCAGGTGCACCATCCTATTTACACGGTACATCTGAGTACATACATTATCCTCTCATGTCAGGTACCTACGTTCAAATGTACGATCTCCACCAGCATAATTACGTTTTTCGTTCTAGCTACCACATTCTGTACAGTCTAGATATTCATACCCTACATCGCATACACTGTACAAATAAACATTACACTTAAATGAAACGAATTTAATAAAATCTGTAAAGGTACAACTGGTACATTATTAAAATGCTTGCACTGGCGTACATCCTGCTAAAGCACATAGCAATCCACATATATTGTCATGAGCCCAGAAGCTAACCTCTTATAAGCACTCTGCAGAGACTTCTGCTGAATGGCAGCTCTGAAGGGTACAGTTGGAGCCTCTGCCCTAAGGTAGCTGAGCCACGCCTCCAAGTTGTTCTTAGGCACCAGGTCAGCTTTGTTGAGCACAAATACAAGCTTCTTGTTTGGATATGAGCGAATTAAAGCCTCAAGTGGAGAGCAACGTGTACCCAGCGGATCCCGGGCGTCCAACACTTCCAACAAAATATCAGCCTCTTCAATAACCTGCAGAGAATTATATCTGTAATTCAAGCAAATAATAGGGAATTGTGCAGATTTGAACGAGTGGTGAGCAGAAATACACGTTCAAGTTGTGACCTTGTTCGACTATACAAAAGGTCAGTTTTGTGTAGAAGATTCATCAATTAAGTGGCCAAGAGTAGCAATCTCACTACGATGTCTCAAAATGTAATTATGATCTGCCTCTGACACTCTTTTTCAACAGCAGTATAATTTTTTCTGCAAACCAACCTTTTTTACTTCGTTGTACCGCGTGCGGCTACTCCATGGAAGCATGCGAGCATCTTCAATTCTTTCCTGTTCATTTTTGGCCATTGCAACGCGATGGTTAAATTCTTGTGCCTTGAGTTTGGCAGCTTCAGCAATGGCTGACGCGGTTTTCTGTTCTTCACGAATCATTAGGCTGGCAAGCAGATAAAAATAAAATTAATAAAAATAATTCATAGAATAAAACAACCAATAAAAAATATCAGAATAATTTATTGCATACAAATTACCTCTACAATTGATTCTTGAGAACTTTTTCTGGTTGAGGCAGTACATACATGAATTGCATTCCAACACTTACACTGCTGGGAGTATTGTTATTCCTGAAGCAATTCTCACACAATGTGATTGGTAATGAATATAAATAATGAAGCAAATCGCTCCAGAATAATTAGAAGACTATGTCAAGACTGTATAATGAGACTCACGTGCCATCATCCAAAATAGGCTGCATATTTTCATTGTCACTTAGATGCTCAGTCTCTGGTGACTGGGGCTCATTGTTCATTGTTTCAGATAATTTGTCAGCATCCTTATTATGTGTGGGTTTTGGCAGCTTGAGTACATCAGTGAGTTTGCGCTGCGATAAAAAAAAGGTAGTTAAACATGTGCACAATTTTATATCAATAATAAAGAAATTTCATCAATACAAATGCAAAAAAAAAAAACATGAGTGTGCCAAATAAGCTGTCAACATTGTATATAAATACAATTATGCGTGTAAGCATGTAAACATATTCTTGCAAGAAACACAAGCAGACTGAATGATACACAAGTCATACTATGTCAGTAACTCTATAAGACAAATACAAATAAGGCACATAGTGAACAAAATGATTAAATCTATCATGGCTGTTATGGCATCAAACCTTGACTGCAAGTTTTTCTTCCCTCCATTTAGCTCGAGCTTCATGAATAATAGCTTTATTTCTGGCAAGGTCTTGGCTCTGCTGCTCCAAAAACTGCTGCTTCTCATTAATGATGTCAACTTTAAATGGGGCCGCATTAGGAACACCAGGATCAGCCTTCTCTGTAAAATAGATGGTAAGCAATTCCACATTCCTGGCAAGGATATTATCTACTATAGAGTGATACAGCATATTATAATACTTAGCATTAACATAAAATTATTTACAATATATGGCTTCACTACCATAGATACTCACAAAGAGAATGGTCATATTTTTATAAATATGAGTCCATGTTGTAATAAGAAAATAATAGATTGTACAATTGACTTACACCATATGTGGGCCATCAGTAGATTTGAGTTTACTTTAATGCAACACCAGATAGCAAGGCTATACAAATAATGTGAATCAGATTGTCAATCTACTTCACCATACAACAATTCTTCATTTGGAGCCTAGTAATTTAGAACAAGAAATAAATTAGGCATGCAACAAAAAATAAATAACTATGTTAAACCACTGAACAATTAACTTACTTTTATGATACTTGTTAGGATTTTTCTTCTGGTCTCTGCGTATCTTGATGCGGCGCTGCTTCTTCTTTTTGATGTTGGTGTACTTGCTTTTAAGCGTCTTGCGGTCACTGGTATTTTCTGGAAAAATGATGTTGCACTCAGAAAAGACAGAGATAGTATTAACATTAACCTAGGTAGAGAAGATTCTGCATCACTGATCAATTAAATCTGAAAATTTTCTTCTTTAGAATACCGTCAAACGGGGTAAAAAGAAACGGGCGGGGTAAATCGGGACGCGCGTCCCACATTTCGTAGAAATGTTGTAGCAGCTAAACTAATCAAAATATTGCAAAACTAGAAATAGTGGCATAAACTGCAACATTTTTATTACCGTCTCTATTATGTATAAAGCTAGTCAATAAATCAAACATTTACTATCTCTAAAAAATCGCTGAAAAAAAGTGTGAAAAGTGCGATTGCCCAACCTGAATTCCGCGCTTCACAGAAACATACTTGCAAGGGGCTTCAAAAAGTTTGTGGAAAAAGGACATAACTGAAAATTATATGAAAGAATATAATGTCAATGCAACAATTTTCCAGGATGCAAAGGGGATCTAGTTAGTTAGTTTCCTTAAGAACAATAAAACTAAAACAACCATTTAGGAGGAATAGATTCATCTGAATACCATCAGAAAAATGCCCTGGGAAGTTTCATTGCCACATCCTCTCCTAAAATATGTGGTGCTTGGCAGACAAAACCTGTGCTATGAAAATTTACATGGGAAATCATTCAACATAAAACTTATAGCCTGGATTTAGCCCCATTAGACTTGTTTTAATTTGCAAACCTGAAAAAGTCATTGAAAGGTGGTACCAAGTTTCCATCAGTTGAGGCAGTAAAAAGAGCTGTCATGACATGCCTTAAATTGCAGGGCTCTCACTCTCAGTCTTACACAGATGGACTTGAAGGCTGGTATCAGTGTTAGCAGAAATCAACATCATTATGACTGACTGTTTTTCCAAATTGTCTTTTTTTTCAAAAAACTTTTTGAAGCCTCCATAAATGAAGCAAGGAGGTTTATTTTTATGTATTTTTTTTTTATTGCAGCCATAATTTCCTGCATCAAATTTTTTAATGTGTGAGAAATGAATTATGCATTAAAATGCTTAAAAAATGGGAGTACAATATTTTTGATATTATAAAAGTAAAATAATAAATTTATCATAAAGTCTAGCTCTGCACATGGCTAAAAATGAATTCAAGGATCAAATATGAAATTGTAAGTTTGTAACTTGTACATTTTTTACATGTGGTGAAAAATCTATAAACTCACAAGCCTAACAAGGCCAAGAATCCTATTGCAGCTCAGCAAGCAAATATTTTTCACACTACACGCTTAACAATGAAGCAATGATTAGCTTGGGGAAATAATGCCAGGTAAATTATCATTTATCACTGTATAAATATCACATGCTAAATTTTTTTCAAAGATGATATAGCATACACCATACAGTGCCATTTTGATAATGAAATTAATGGTTAGACAAATACATTGCTGGGCCAATGAGTTTAAAGAAACCAATTTAATTTTCAGGTCTAAAAAAACTTTTTCAAGGCACTGATAAAAAAGTAAACTCATGAATAAAAAATTTGTTTTCAGGGAAAAATCAACTTGTGTAGGTATGTACATATCTAGTTAATTATTGAGCCTTTAAGAATAGACACTTTCCACACTTTAGGCAATCTTTGAGGCAGTCTGGTAGAGAATTCCAAATTTCCAATATTATATAGGCTAGGTACCTATTTACTGCAGAGAAATCCGATATAGGACATAGGACAGGTAGCCATGGCCTATGCCATTTACAGCAGCAATCAGGATTTGTCTGATTCAGGAATACCTACTGGGCAGAATTTTCTAAAATTATAGTTTCACAACCTCACAGCCCTGAGCCATCAGAAGTGATTTTCTAGAATTGTAGGCATAAAATTAATGGGCTGGTAAGTGGTAACTGCTGGTTTAATAATTCTTCACTAAAGAATTTTGTGAACTAGGCTAGCCACTAGGGTGAGAGCATTTGGAACTATTTGGAAGTAACCAAGGGTAAACGCGGTATATTCCGACACATTAAGGACGCATCGAGAAATGAAAAACTATAAAAAAAACCGTATGCGTTACGTAAGTTCTGTTGCCTTCACATGACTCTCAAAACACTTCACTACGCATCAGCAACAATGAAACGTCACAAAATGTTGCCATATTACGGCGTACGCATTAGAATACGGTCTGCACATACGGCGTACGCATTAGAATACGGTCTGCACATACGGCGTACGCATTAGAATACGGTCTGTACATACGGGGTAAGCATTAGAATACGGTCTGCACATACAGCGCACGCATTAGAATACGGTCTGCACATACAGCGTACGCATTAGAATATGGTCTGCACATACGGCGTACGCATTAGAGTGCCATCTGAACGAAGATTAGTCAATCAGAAACTGCCAGCAAACACAGATTCGAGGAACTGCACATAACATGCTTCTTAACCAATACTTCGAAGTATGTAGGAGAGATGGATGTCACCAGCTTGCATAGCCAACAAAGTTTGAATTCCGCAGTCTTTGTTCCGTGGATGATCCGTGATTAGTATCTGAGTTTGTCACACTAGCACGAATTTCCACCACGAGCATATTTTAGCATATTGTAGTCAAAAACTATTGATGATATGGAAATGGGTCAAGCCAACATCATGCATGGACCAAAGTATTATATATATTATATTATAAAATTACTTAAAGGACACGCTATCAAACGTCAAATGCTGCAGGTCAGGTTTAGTAAGAAATTCATAGTGTCGAGAGATATTCGTATGACAAACATGTATTCGTATGACCTAATTGTCGTCATATCAGAGCTCGAAATTTCATTCTAGCTGCACCAAAGGTTGTCTCAGACGAGTTCTATTATTAGTTTTTTTACGATGCTCAGTCAAGTCCTCACCTCTCAGTGATTTTCTCTTGCGTAACTCTGAATTGCGTGGGTGTTAACTTCTTCAAAAGCTGCTGTTTTTCCTCTTGTTTTAGAACCCTTCTAGCTGCATCACTGTTTGGGCCGGAGTTCTTGGAGCTGTTCTTCAACGCATTGTTAACAAATGCACGGCCTTGAATGCTACCAGATTTACTAGCAATAATAGAAGGAGTGATGCGGTCACCCAAACCAACTTTGCTCGCAACAGAGCCCACAGAAAATCTGTTGTTGGAAACGGTCCTCAGCGTCTTACCATTCAAGAATTTGTTGCCGGGAATTGTAGTGCCAGGGTTGTTTTCAGTACCTGGTCTACGAGGCACGGATTTCAACAACGAGTTCTGGGTAAGAGCATCATTCTGCTCGAATTTAGATAGAGTGGACGAGATTTTATTTGGAGGAAGTGATTGCCTGCGGTTAGGCTCCGTAGACGATAATTCTTTCAATGTCCCGGAGTTGCGTTTCTCTAAATTTGAGATCCCATGTACAAAATCTTCATTTCTACTACTTGCATCATTTGATAACGACTCTGCGTTAGATCTATTTCCTGAGGAGCGATTTGACAACACTTTATTTCTAGAGACTGACGAGGAACTTGAATTTTCTCCAGCAGAAAAACCGTTTGAGGGACGACGATCTGCAAATGGGCCAGAAGTTGGCCGACGAAGGTGACTGGCGCCTTCCATCTTCGTCCTGAGGAGTGAAATGGTTAGCAATTAAGGCTTATTAAAATTCGCAACTTTAGAATAAAAAACACGTAGTCCACCAGCACCGCGGTAAATGCTCTATGTATGGAAGATGCGCGGAGCTAACTAGTGACAACACCGTAACTACTTCGCTAAAAACACCCCGCATTATCTTGCTTCGCTAAACAACCTCACTACTGCTGCGTGATGCTGCATCATTGCTACTGCGTTTGCCACTTTTGCTACGTGATATCACGTCACTATACGCTCACCTTTATTATATTGCTACGCGATACTACGCCTCCATTCTTGAAGACACAGTACGCTCTACTCAAATCCTGGATTCAAAATGCCACCGGAAATGTTTTTGCGATTTTTTTTCTTCATAAACGATCACATTTGTGCCTCACATCTCAGCGAGGACGCAACTTGTACCACACATCTCAGACGGAAAACAATTTGATTTTCAAATGTCAATGATAATGCTTTTTTCGGCTTACATCTCAGCGAGAACACGATCATAATTCAGCCTTCATGTCTCAGCGAGGACACACATTTGTGAGCGACCAAACAAAGCGTGTGTAGTGTTCTGAATCAAATCCTGCAGGCCTTACCAATCCAGTATTCGGGTGGACAGGCAATCACACGCAAGCGACCAACCCGTCGACTGTGATCAAAAAGATGACGCAACTGCACCTAACAATCGTCAGGAGCTGCGTCGCTCGGCTGCCGCTTGTGCGCAGCTGCTGTTGTTACGGATGACGTCATAGGTGCGGCGGCTGCGGTTACTCGCACCACAGCTTTCGTGAGTGACCTCACCTCTGCTGGCACGATATTTAGGCCCCTTTCACACAGGGCAGTAAATACTGCCAGCGTCCGACAGTATTTACTGCCGAACCTTAGCGGACATACGAAATGTGCACTGCTGTTCACACACGACTGCTTTTACTGCGGCGTAGAATTTGACGCCTGACGCCAGCGTCTGTCCTGCTAAAACTGCGGCAGTAGATTTGTCGCGCAGTTTAGCTTGCAATGGTTTTCAATGTAATCTTTCACACTGGGCGGTTTTTGACGCCAGATCCCAGCAGACAGTGGGGCCGTATTTTAGTTGCATAATAAATAGCACTGCTAGACTGATAGATTATAGACTGATATTGTAACATAAATATTGTTACATAAACATAAAGATATACATTGTTAAATATATATTCCTTGAAGTGATTGAGATATATTTTATAAAAGATATATTTTCCATAAAATATATAGGTATTTCCATAGAGTTGTATTTACATCATTCTCACATAGAGATATACAGTATTTTCATAAAGAAATATTGTTACATAAACATAGAGATGGACTGATGAAGCATAAAGCACTGCAAGACTGATAGATTCCAGCAGTAAAAAGCGCCTCGTGTGAAAGATTGCGCTGTAAATACTGCCGCGGCATTTTTGACGCGCGCAGTATCTACTGTCCTGTGTGAAAGGGGCTTTACAGCTGCAGTAACCTTGTCTCTGCAGTTGGCCCGACATGCAGATGCAGCAGCCGTTATCAATGACGAGGGCAAATACGTGCAGATGCAGCAGCCGCGTGTGCCACATTTTGACAGAGGCGTCTTGAGAATGAAGAAATTTTCATTATAAACTGACATGTCGGCATCTTCGAGAAGTAAGATGTGAGATCAAGCGAGCCTTGGACCGTCCTTACAGCAACTCACCTCGTTATGCATGCCAAAAATTCGTAAAATTATTTACAATTACCATATAGGTAATCAATAGGCACGCAATGTGTGAATTTACGTGTGTCATCGTAAACAACACTATTTCTATTTTCTATCAAATGACACTAATCATCAGCACATTCCGCGAGAGGCAATGATTGCACAGCTACGATTTGATAGGAGCTCAAAGGAAAGCAGCAACGAGGCATCAGCGATTGCCGACAGAGAAACATTAGAAAAGCAAGACGAAGTGACCAGTAATTACAGAAATTGAAATAATACTAAAGCAGTTTGTGGACGAAAAGGACCAGCAATTTGACAGCGGGAAAAGAATCAAACAAAAATCAAGTGAAAGCGAGAGCACCAAACAGCAAATGAAGGCCATATCTGAACATGCCTGCTAAGCAGTCAACCTGCACAGCCTCCACTGCTTCATGCAGCACATGACGCCCCCATTTGCACTCTCTGGTCTCTGCAACAAGCAGTCGATTCACGTGCCCGTCTTGCCTTCAACCTTAATTCCATCAGCAACTTCATTGCTATGGTGAGAGCACACAGTTCAGCTCAACTGCCATCGCTGAGACAGCAACTTTCGCTCACTCATCGACACGAGTCTCCGGACTCGGCTGCAGTTCATAAGCTCAAGTCAGGAGCAGCGTCAAATTTGTCCAGAAGCTTCATGAAATACAATTATCAGGCATGTACTATTCCTTACATAAATTAATGTGCTTCCCAAGAAAACTCCTATCCTAACAATACAAATACAAAGCCGCTAACTGGAAACTTCCTGGAAGTATTTAATCCGCAACACGAATCTAACATAGCTAGCTACTGTGATTATGCATTGCGTTGAGATGACACGGCACGCCGCATTTATGTCGAGTTTAATGATCAGGATTTAGGCAGTTCCGTCAAACTACTGGCCAGCAGTGGTTGAGTTTACAGCTCAGCGTTAGGCTGTTGTCCCTGGTACTAGCCAGCAGTGGTTGAGTTTACAGCTCAGCGTTAGGCTTCCAGGTACTGGCCAGCAGTGGTTGAGTTTACAGCTCAGCGTTAGGCTGTTGTCCCAGGTACTAGCCAGGAGTGGTTGAGTTTTCAGCTCAGCGTTAGGCAGTTGTCCAGGTACTGGCCAGCAGTGGTTGAGTTTACTGCTCAGCGTTAGGCAGTTCCGTCCAACTACTGGCCAGCAGTGGTTGAGTAAACAGCTCAGCGTTAGGCAGTTCCGTCTTATTTCAACCATCAATGAACGCATGGAACTAAAACAAAGCTTAATATAAAGGAAAAGCTGGAGAGGTGACGGAATTACCTACGATGTCGGAATATACCGCGTTTACCCTAGTCTCAAGTCCCCAAAGGCCCAAAATCATATGCATTTTATAATTATTCATAGGTGGCTTTACTGGCTTATCTTATGGCTTTATCTAAATCTGGCTTCTGCAAGATTTTTTACTTTGGTTTAAAAGACTAAGCATTTTTTGTACCAATACCAATTATACCATCAAAAGCATCAATGCTCATTGCTCAATGCTGATAACGCCACCACAGCACTTAGGTCAGTAAGGTCACAAGTCTTGAATAGAAACGATTCTTTTATGAACAAAAAGTAGGCTAGGTACCTAGTAATCTTTTTTCAGGACTATAAAATTACCAGTGGAAAAAAAACATCTTTCAAGTTTCCACCAGGTTCAAAAAAGCATTTGCTCATTCATTTGGTAGCAGAATTACCTAGGCCTACATCATTTACATGCAAAAAATTTATGCATCAACTCACTTTTCCTCATTTTTCTGTATATAGCTAAGTAAGAATAGAGTGTATGACGATTATCTGGGACTGGAAGTCTGCCGGCACTGTTTACGAAAACTTTACTGTTTACGAATACGAAAGCAACACTTCACACTTGGCAAGTGCATCGGCAACACTCCCTTGCGGATTTTTATAGACAAGACACAATGGGTTGCGATTTAGCTGGAATTTATTTTGGACCAAGAAATTTAAAAGATAAGGGTTTCTAGTTATATGACTAAATTTTTAGAGCATTTTTGCCTCATGATTGCTATGTATATCTGGGTCAGTTCTGGGTAAAAAGACCGTCATTTATAAGACATGTATGGCAAAGTGAGGCAAACTTTACACATATCCGAAAGAGTAACTTAAAAAAATTAATTTCTTCATTCCGAGCACTATCTCGCTGTATTGAACTACATTTTATTTTATAAACATAGCAGCGTTGGGAGCGTTATCTTTGGTACCTTCACGCAAAGCGCGTATTCAGATGTGTGAGATTCCATTAGTTTATAATCTTAAAATTTGCAAGTACTATTTTATGTCAGATATTTCGGTATTTCAATGATCATTTGTGAGCTCTAAATTTTCTAGTGCAACACGTTTTATAGCTACACTACACCATCTGGTAGTGAAACTGTATTTGAGCGAGTCTTCAGGGATCCTTTATAATCTAAAAAAATATATAATCAATAAGTTCAATAACAAAACATTCTTTCGGGCGCACGGCAACGCTGACAGCACTGACACAATTTTTGCGAGTGCGCGGTTTTCTATCAAAACGGCATTTGCTCCATTTGCCGGTCAAAATGGCGTGCATTATAGAACACATCTCGACTGAATTAACTCCACACACGCTAATTTGCATTGCGACGTGAGACGTATTGTTACAATTTTATATGAACTTATTGTTTTCAATTTATACACAAATATTTGCCCTTTTGACTGGTTGAACACGTTTTACTAGGTTAATTAAAAATTGATCTCTACTTTTTAGAATATTATAACCCTTTAATTTTCATAATGCCGTGAGGTGCGTTATCACATTATTTTGATCTCGTTACCATGAGAAATTATCAAGCAATCCTGGAATTGCCTGGGGGATCGGTTTTACAGATACAAACTCAGCAGTTTATATGTGAAGGGGCGAATATTATAATTCAGACAGTCTATTAAAAGCGCAATGAAAATATCAGGAAATGTAATTAACTACTTCGAGATCGGTTTTTCAACAGAATTTGAAAAAAAAATCAGATTTATGATGCTGGTGCTATGGGTATGGGTATGGCTGTGGTGGTGCAGTGGTGAGAGACTCTGTCTCTCGCAGCCAGCTCCCGGGTTCGAGTCCCACTGAGGACAAGTTCTTCCGGGAAGCTCAGCTCATGGTCAACTCAGCCATTCATCCAACTCTGGTTGATAAATGAGTACCTGGCTTGTCCAGGGTGTTGTGTAATGCAACCAAATGGTTCTGGCGGGTCAGCGAGCCAGTGATGGTCGTAGAACTACCAGTGGTACCGAGTGCCAGGAAAAACTGACCTATCACCCCCCTCCCTAGTCGCCACTACCAGGATGGGCAATTACAACAACAACAACATGGGTACAGTTAATGAGTACTCGACCTAATAAGAATTTGGCAAAAAAAAATCTGCCAATTAAAATCTCGGAAGTCGACTGAAATTCAGAAGATAGCGCGACAATAAACAAATACAGCTTACAATAGTATCACTAATCCGCCGCATCTTGGCTTTACTCTGTCAGTTAATTGTGTAACAAAGAAAAAAATAATCCGACCCTGCCAATTTTTACAACACTTCTCTTTAACTTCACTTCGTGTTTGTTTGTTTGTTTGTCTGCCATAAATCTCATAATCGATCTTTAGCACACTTCCGAATGTCCAATCGATCTGAAATTTTGCACACTTGCGTAAAGTCGGAGACAATGCTTGATTCAATTGTCAGAATAAATATTTTGAGAAATAAAAAATCTTAATATTAAAAAAACAAAAAAAATATAGTTCTTTAAATATATAAAAATAATATAAAGAAATTTATTGCACAGCTGTAACATCGGATACATTGGCCTCGTTAGAAGTGTTGTCTTTAAATAGTATTTTTTAAACGCATATTTCTTTAGTTTTATCCTCGATTGGGTGCTCTGGGTACTCGCTTCGGAACAACCACCTGAGGTGTGGAGGCGGATGCAACGTACTCGTATTAACGCCGATGCCCCAGGTACCAGTAACTATTTGACAAACTCTGATGTTTTTTACTGATAAACTTCTTTTCTGAAAATTTTAATGGTCAAGTTGTATTTTGATATTGATTAAGTCATATATATATATATATATATAGCCATTCCCATCTATGTATGCAATTATTTAAAAACTTGATATGCAAGTTTTTATTTATATGTTTCATTAAACATGTGATTCCTAGGTATTTTCATATCACGAGCATTTTCTTATTTCGGAACACAAACACGGCAGTTTAAATATCAACAATACACCCATAACTGCAGATGAGATAAACTTGAAAAGAGTCAGTCCAATGGCCTTAGTACACGAGACCGACACCAAGCTAGGGAGCTTGGTATCGGTCACTGATGACCGCCAGAACCATGGTTGAATTAAATTTAATTCAACCATGGACAGAACTAAGTATGTGCCACGAAGAACCTCGTGTGAGAGTGATATAATTCCTGCAGGATAGAATACACCAACAATTAATCTAGGCTACAAAATTACAAATGCATGAACTTATAAAAAAGAAGAATTTATATAAAAACATACAATTCAAGAATTTAATAAAATAATATAATCCATGCATAAAGTCGGTACCAAAACAAGAAAGCAATGTTATTTACAAATAATTATGCCACTAAGAAGGTTATAAATTTCTTCAAAATGTAAATTGCATCGGTTTGACCAGCACGGCCGCCGCCTAACATGCTACCTCCAGACCGGAGGACCGAAAAACCACACGAGGGAGTCTCATATTGAGTCCCTCACTCACGCGGCGTTGGAGGCCTTCACCAGCATCGTCATGAGGTGCCCCAATTATCTATTAAAACACAGGTGGTAAATGGCCAGAGAATTCATTGATTTCAATTTTCAGGAGCGAACAATATTCTTCAGACGACGTTTGAACAAAGTGGAGGTTCAATGAAGTAATTTTAATCAACGTTTCGAATGTTACAACATTCATTTTCAAGTTATAGGAAGAATTTAATAGGAAATTTTGTTGGAAATAAGTACACAGAGCTGGGCAGCGCTACTTTGAAATGTAGCGCCGCTACCGCTACCGCTACATGCTCTAAATGTAGCGGGCACTACCGCTTTCGCTACACCCACTAGATTGTAGCGGGAGCTACCGCTACCGCTACATTAGGCGCTTCAATGGCAAAAATTATAGGAAATCTCTAAATATTTATTGTTCTGCTATTGGGATTTACTCGTAAACATTTAATGATAATAAAATTTTTCAAAACATATCAATGCAACTTTATTGCAATTAACCTAACCGAAATAGTACAAGTTAGATAAAGCAAATAAAAGTTATTTTTATGTTTCACCTTCCCTACATGGATGTCTACTTTAATCTACCAATGTCAAAAATTATCCACATATACATATAAAAATCAAGTCTTTTATTTGTATATATACGTGGATAATTTTTGAGATTGGCAGATCAAAGTAGATATTCACGTAGGGAAGGTGAAACATAAAAATAACTGTGTAAAAATAACTGTAAGCAAACTTAAGTTAGGTGGCTGATGGCCGTGATGTGGTCGTGGACATGTGGTGGCAGCTGGCACAGAACAAGAACAAGTGGTAACGGGTAACAACTTAACAAGTAACAACTAACATTTTGACACTAGTAACAGGCTGAGGTTGACAACATTGCACCGAAATATTTCGTACAGTTTTATTCTGTAATTTATATTATGTATGAATCATGCTGGTTTTTAAATAATATTTAATACTATTAGGTAAAATCTAAAGGCTTTATCTATAAATGTAGCGTTAGCGCTGTAGCGGCAAAACCTCGTATCGCTACTTAAATGTAGTGGGCGCTACCGCTACCGCTACAATTGCTTAAATGTATCGCCGCTACCGCTACTGAAAATATAGCAGCCGCTACATGTAGCGCGCTACTGCCCAACTCTGCCTAGAAGAAGTAAATAAATACTGGGCATTATACTATCGTCTTTAACTGAACACGAGCAATCTTGCTTGTGAACATGATCAAACGACAGGAGACTTATATATTATATTATACCATAGAATGTACAAAAAAGTTACTGAGCTTATTACTATAATCTTAAACTGAACACAAGCGATATTGCTTGTGAATACGATCAGACGATAGGAGACTTGAATATATTATACCCTAGAAGAAGTAAAAAATTACTGGGCATATAACTATAGTCTTGAACTGAACACAAGCAATTTCTGCTTGTGAAGATCAAACGATAGGAGACTTAAATATATTACACCTTAGAATGTACGAATAAGTTACTGAGCGTATTACTATTATTTTAAACTGAACACAAGCGATATTGCTTGTGAACACGATCAAACGTAAGGATCGATACTTAAGGGTGCGCCACAGAAACTTACTTATTTGAAAAAATTCCTGTGCGGTTAGTTGGTCGGGTAGAGGGGCGAGAGGGGGTGCATCTGAAGAGGAAAGTTCCCAAGTTTGTTTCTCAAAGTTTCTCAAATAAATTTGCTGTAGTGCAAGAATTAACTGAACGCGATTTTGTTGCCCGTCAAAATGCATGTAAAATGCTGGTTGACAACCTGCCTGAAGACGCGGTCGTTTTTTTCAGTGGCGAGGCTCACTTCAACATTTCCGGCTGCGTCAACAGGCTAAACATGCGTTATTGGTGTGGTGTAAATCCTCGTGAGCTTTACCAGAAGCCATTTAACTGTGAGCGAGTTACTGCCTGGTGTGCGATGTCTATAATGGGAATAATTGGTCCTTATTTTTTTTAAGAAAACGAACGCGCAGTTACCGTTAATGGAGCTCGATTACAGGAACATGATCGAGGAACTTTTTCTTACAAGACTCGAAGAAATGAACTTTAGGAACGTGTGGTTTCAGCAAGATGGAGCCACAACACACACAGCACGAGACTCGATGAATT